AAGATATTACAATAGGATAGTAAACTATTCAGTACAATTCTTGAACAGCTGCAGAGTAGAAATGCATAAATCGAAATTATTCTTTATTGAAAGTACAACTTTTGAAACCAAAGAATTTTTGCTTCTTTGTCATAACACTGTGTATTGCTGCAGTATCTGGACCTATGTATGTGTAGTAACGTGTTTTCATGGCCAAGAATATGCAACCGAAATGTCGAGTATTTTCTTTATCGCTGGTAAATTATAAGCAATGAAAACAATTATCTTGGTGCTGTAGGTGAAAATTTCCAGAATATAAGTTCAAATACATAAAAACGCCCAGCATTGAGTTACGATTAGTGTCAAAGCAAGAACTAGTCAACCGCGAATGTAGCTCAAATCCATGAAATTGAGTTTGGTTTGTAGTAATTATTCACAAAAACGCCAAAAGCTTGATTGTTGTTTCCGATATATTTAAACTTTCCATTAAACAAGGCGGAATGCTTCATTTTTTTGCTCATTTAGCCAATTTCACACAGTTTCATTATAAGTTTAGCTTTCAAGTAGGAACGAAAATGGTGGCTCTGCGCTCGCCCCAGACCCGCTGTCCCAACTCTTTCAATAGAGGGCTCTGTCCATTGAGTTCTATAAGACCTGGGGGGAAAAGTCAACCAAATTACTATAAATTATTAGCGCGCAGCCGCGTGGTCAAAAACATGGTGGATTTTGGTTGTTAAAGTCAGCGGAAAGACGCGGGCTCATAAAACAAAATTTTATCGCCTACCCGGAATTGACAACCACAATTGCGATTATATAAAATATCAATGCCAAGCACAAAAACTTTTAGAAATTTTATCTTTAAAACATGCTGCAAACTTGTTTGGTATACGGATGCTGAAGTAATGCCAGAAAAGGAAACATTTCATGACACCGGTAAGCAACGTAAGATTGTTTACCATTTAAAGTGTTCGGTGTTTTGTTTTAAGTCAATACTTGAAGTGTGATGGTATATATTTTGTAGATGTTTTTACTCCTAAGTTATAATTTAAGTGATGTTTATCCAGTCTTGTTTGTTCTTTACTTAACAGTAGCGTGGTGGTGCAATTTTGACTGCGGGGACCAAAGCAAATTTCGCGCCCCCTTCACCTTTGAACTAATGAAATTGGCAGTACATGCCGCAGTATTATTGAGTCTGGATACTTTATGTTATCCTCTGCATTTTGATTATACTCTACCGAAGACTGCGCTACCACTAGAAAATTAAAAATAGGTACGCGAATAGCGTAAATGACTAATATTTAATTAACTACATGAGAAATCACTAGAGAAGTCAATGACTCAATAGACCTGCTAAGTAGGATAAAATTTTTTAAAAAAATAATTTTTTTCCGCTTCAATAGAAAATCTTCACAGCAGAATTTTATACAATTATATTTCTATTAGTCCTGCTCACAGGCTACCCACAAAAAAATATTATTAAGCTTGGATTAATAATAAGATGCAATGCCAGTAACGATTCCTGTCTGCGAGAGAAAGCCAAGAAAGTTCATTGAAATACGAAAAAACTATACATTTTTAGGCATTCTTGCACCCCCTAAGAGGACATTAAATTTGGCCCTGTGTGTTGTCTACAGTCATTGTGACAATTGACAAGTCAGGTGTTGTGGCCATATAAGAAACATCAAGAATGCTCCTTAATTACTTTATTCCTTAATTGATGGTAAAACGACCCCCTTACAAGGTTTCATTTTGATCAGTCTTACAAAGCTAACTTCATTAACTGTATGTTATAACTGTGGAAATAACTGTTCTGCTTCAATTCATTTTTCTAGCCCTAATTTATAACTTCGTGACTCATATTCATTTCTGCGCCCCTCCAGAAATCAACAGCTGGGGGGACTTCGGCCACCCTGGCCCCCCTGCCACCACGCCACTGTTACTTAATCGCTTGCTAGACGAGGCAAAGCAACTAATTCTTATCGAGATATGCGTATCTTAAAGCAACTTCTTTCAAATGACTTTATCTCCAAGAAATGGGGGATTATTTCAAGAAATTGTTCTGAAAATATGAAGCAAATATTAAGAACAGAGCTGCATTGAAATCAAATGCAGTGCAGGATTAATTAATGGACTCATTGGTACATTTCGCACAATAAAAAATACCTGTATCAAACAGCTAGCCTTGACAATTTGACAGATTATGAACAATCATGATGATTGTGTGTAAAGGTTTGCTTTATGCTAACAGTTTTATAAATGCCATCTGGTGTTTCTGTAAATGAATTGTTTGTTATAGTAAGCAGGTTAGTACATCAAAACCAAGATAGAAACTACTTTGTTCAATAATGTGCCAAATTATGCTCCTACCTTGAAATATTTGCTCAAGAAAAACTTATGATGACATACATGAAATATTAAATATAGTACTGCATCACCTGACAAAATCCATACGTTTTTCAATTCCAGGTGATTAAAAATTCACATAAGATACATTGGTTGCAATGAAGTTGAATGTGGAAGATGCAAAAATTGATGGAAAAGAACTTTTTATGTCTTATGAAGAATTACAATATTATTTAAAAGAATAAGAATAGCAATCTAGTAAAAGAAGCAACATCTGTCCTCAACATGATACTTTTCCAATTATGTAAAGTTCAAAGGCATAATGTAAAATTCAAAAGATTGTCAAGTTTGAACCTAGAAAAAATTAGTATAGGTAACTGTAATTTGTAAGGACACAAGAGGAAAGTAGTGCAAGGAGGTTAGCATTTTTGAGAATTATTACATTCATCATGACATACATTACACAAGTCCATAATATTATAAATAATGACTGTACAATAACAATTATACAACATGCTAAATATCTTCACCTACATTATAATTATTTAAACAGGTTTGCCTTCATACAGCAAAAAGAAAAGTGTTATGTCTGAGAAAGCAATGCACTTTAATTTAAGAAATCGTATTTTCAATGGGAAATTAATGTAGTTTTGTTCAGTAGTATATCCATGGTTGTCAATGGCAATCCAGTTTCTAATATCTTGGCTCAAAACAGAACCAGCAACATGATTATAGTATTTCTGAATTTCGTTCTTTTGCTCTCTTAGTTCAAGATATTTTCTTCATAAGTTCTCATTAGATTTATCAGAACATCAAAATACCTTATAAGACACCCAGAATCAATCCTACCAAAAAAAAACTCAAAAAAATTACAAACCTACTTAAAATATATTTCCAATCGACTTAAGTCGTAGGGGAAAGCTAACTTTTTCTAACTCCTTTTTGGACATTTTAACTAAGATTTACCCATCTATTCGAGAAAGACTGTAGCACCAAACTGTTCACAAACAGTCAAAAACACAAGTATTGCGCATGGTATTATGCATCAAAGCTTAACCTCACATTGACAGTGTATAGAATGCCGTTTGATATTTATTTCTAATATAGCTAAAGCAATATTTGACAAAATATACGTTATTTTACCGTAGATTTTCCTCATTTAAATGTGTGTGTGTATTTCACAAAAACCTGAAGCATTATTTTCAATATTTTATGCTTACGGTATCGTGGTTGTTTTCGCTGGTTGTCATTAATATAAGCAGTAATAGAAATCCGGATTCCGGAGGGAGCGAATGTTAAAAATGTTTCTCTAAGTGGAAGTTTTGACAACCAAAATCCGCCATTACCGCCATGTTTCGACCACGGGGTCAAGGCCCCTTTCTCCCTCCAGGTCTTATAGAACTCAATGGCTCTGGCTAGTAGTGGCCAAAGTAATGGCAGTGAACTCCATATATATATATATCTGGAATGATAACGACAATACATTTTATAGATAAAAAGTTGAAGCCAAAGTCCTAGTCTCTTGCGCGGTTTGTACGTCAGTTCCAGTCCTTCAAAGTCGAATATTCACGCGGTTTGTACGTCAGTATCATTCCCCTGAGTGCCAAACATACACGGCCCATATAAATTTGAATACAAATTGCGAAAGCATAAACATATAAACAACATCACTACAAACAACACACGAGGCTAACTCCTCGCAAAAGGCTATTTTTTACAGCTGAAACTTTACTACAGTGAGCTCGTTGTAACTTACAACTTGTAACGTGGAAAAGCCAACTGAAAATTACACTGTATGCAAAAAGGACAATACAATAGAAAATATGACGAGAAAATCTTCAAGCATAAATTTTTCTTTCGTCGAAGGTAAATTTTCAAACGGTGTCAGACAGTGTTTGTCTTTTTTTGTCATTTCAGTGGATTTAAAGATCTTTTTTTAAATCGATCTTGAATAAAAAGAAACGAAGAAAAAAGAAACTTGAATATCCAGTTTTATAAAAAATATTGAGTCTATAACTCGCATTTTTACTTTTTACAGAGCGATTGTATTTTTAGTCGATTTTGATAGTGCTTGAAATACTAAATGGTTGTCATCTCGATATCAAAAATTGAATATCCTTAAAGACTTTGCATGTCATTTTTTTGACTCTGAAGATGACTACCGCTAAGGTTGTCGAAACGTCAGTCAACAACAACAAAAACAGTCCTTCTCAGGACTATACCAACCTGGACGATCTACATTTACAAACATGTAACGATACTCCCGGGTTCAAACCAAAGACTTTGATATGTTTTAAAGGAAAACCGCAGCGTAAGAGCAGATCGATCAAGTTCACCTCACCTTGCTTCTCGATTTATCACTTTGATTCACCTTCCGTGAACCTTTTCATTCCAAAAATTTCGTTATTTGTACGAGACTAGAGCCTGACGTGTAATGACGAATGATGACAACAAATATTTTTTTGGCTTCAATTTTTGGCTTCGGATATCATTCCAGTTATTCAAATGTCGAGTTCACTGAGTAATGGCGGCCGTAGAATTTCTATCATGCGCAATGAGACATTCGCAAGGACACTGACTTCAAAGGCTCCGACAATAAGTTGGCCTTTTGTTCATTTCCTATTCTGTGCTTCAGGTAGCGTTCCATGTATTTTAGTTCAATGGGCAACCCTGACATGAAGTATCTCGCTTGAATACAAAATGGCGGCTGAAGAAATACTTTTTATGTCAGAATATGTGCGATTTAAGAAAAATAATGGGAAGCTGAAGCTTCTTTCCGATAAAATAATTTGGATTGGAGATGAAGCTGAAAAGCCTCGCTTGTGCTTTGCTTATTCACATATCAAAGGTAAGGTTACTAAGCTCAAGCTTATGTGTCATAATGATATTGTGATGCGTAGCTAACTTTGTAAGGTTTCACTGCCATTCCTTTTGTGAAATTGCAAAATAACCATGGAAAAAATCCAGTCATTGAGGGAAGAATTTTTGGTAGTAGCTTAAAATCGAAAAGGGAGTTTAACAACAAACATATAAATGATGTAATCAACTAATCATGCAACTTTTTTTGTGTGGAACTGCGTAGATTGGAAAAGTAATATCACGTCGATTTTCAAAAGCGAATGTGAAGCATGACATAATTGATCAGGAAATTAATGAGGCAATAATTCAATACATGTTCTGTCATTCAGCAAGGAAACTGATTACAGTATGTATAAATAGAATTCAATGATTGACCATTGATTTACCTCAAGGATATGACATACAGTTGTTAAGAAATTATACTTGTTGTCTAACTATATATTTCAAGTGAACAGTGTGCATTACAACAGAGGCAATCATGTGATACCTTTATATTGTACATACACCCCAGGGTTTCACACTTAAAATTGCTGTTGAAGACGAATGTCTTAAATTTGAACTTATGCAAATTATGAGTTGGATCATCCAAGCTTTGCTACTTACACACACAGAACCTCTCTTGACCAGTCGAAGATTTTTTATGACAAAGAGAAGATCATAACTTTTGTGAAGGCTTTCATTTAACTTAGCAAATAATTAAGAGGCAGTGCATAATTGCAAGTTACATGTAAATTATTGCACTAATATATTGTATATACACCTGTATTTTTCCTGGTTTGACATGTATTTGTAGCTACTCATAACATCAGCAGACAAGTCAAACTTATATTTTAAACCTACCTGTATTCAAACAAGTGGGCATTCTCTTGGTCTTGTAGTTGTGCTTACAGTTTAGTAAATCAACTTGCATTGATCAACTCATTGAAATATTTATTATTTTGGTACTGGAAAGCAGAAATAATGCTTTGCCAAGGTTGTAAATAATGATGATACATTTTTGAACTGTCAAGAACTAAGTTAATTTTCAGAGCAAGCTGTTTTCTATTTTATAGTTATCAAAGTGATCTTCGTAGCACAATGCTTAATATACAAATTATATAGACATCACTAAAATTCAATTTTACTTTCTTAATCACAAACATTCAGTGCAATGAATATGTTATTTACAATGTGGGATATACAATGTAGAATTATAATACAACAGAGGTGATACTCAATGAATAGTTTAATTTTTTACAGACGTTTAGGGATTAGTGACAAGATGTGTATAGTGTTTTTGTTGGAAAAAAACTCGCAGATTCACAAATAACTACAAAATCCTGAATGCAAATCCAAGTACGCTTCATTGTGATCATGAAAACCCTTTAAAGGTGACATGAAGTGAATTCTAGTTTTCAATATTTTCAGTCATACAATATTGAACTCCTCGTTTAGTTGGTTTCTTGCCTCCATTATATCGCAATGTTACGAGAAGCATGCAAACAGAGCTAAGTGAAAACAGATTGACGTCACATTGTTCAAGTTACGCAATATTGGCCGCGTGTGAACCATTGAGTTCTATAAGACCAGGGGCTGGTTGTATAAAACTCTTAACTACTTTTTAACTACACTTTTTGCAGTTAAAAAGTAGTTAAATTTAACCACGCGGTTAAGTCGGTTGTATAAAAAAGTAGCTAGCGCTAACTGCAGTTAAAGTTAACTATGCTATGAAGCATAGTTAACTTTTCAAAAAACAGTTAAATATGGCGGCTTAGCTTCTCAAAGACAATTATGGGCGAGATGTTGTTGATCAACAAGGTTTTATCTTGAGTTTTTAATCACATATGTATCTTCCATGGCAAAGGCTTTTAGAATAAAAGCTTTATGGACGGTGTACTACATTCGTCAGTGCTGTAAATACCCCAAGTTTTGCTTACGAAAAACAGCCTACAACTTATCCGCGTAACAAATTCCTTTTTACACAAGAGCAATTGCATTTTGTATTGTCTTTTTTTGCGTCCGGTAGCTCTTTCAACTCATAAGCGAGACTCTCAATTGAGATAGAGCCACTTCTTTAAGATTAGTGCACATAACTCGCTTACATTGTCTTACAACCACGTACACTTCGTTCAGTGACAAAAGAAAGAAAGAATGTTATTCGAGCAATGAACCCTAAAGCCTTGGATGTATCAAATGTTCAAATTGCGGGTTTTTCCCTATGCATTTTGCTTGATTGAATATCATATGCATCATATAAACTCATTGCTCCATGGAAAATAAACTAGATTATGTTAAAACAAAGAGGTACTACAGCATAAATGTTGTGCTAAATATACCAATGATAATACATATAGATACATGAGCTTTACAACAGTTTTTATTCATGACTACTCTTTTGTATATCAGCTGCATGAGATACAAAGAAGTTAGTTTTTTAAATACATAAAACATTTAATTAGCATGCATGGTGAAGGTACATGTTGCTTGATATATATACATTATCCATTGCACATGGTTTATAACACAAGCAGAAAATATACATGAGAGTCGATAAGTGGGTTTTATTCATATTTCATCATATATTTCCTATGTAAAAATGTTTATTTTTAATGTACACACAATCTTTCCTGCCAATATTTTCTAGGAAGCAGAAAGCTCTAGCTACTGTTTGATGATTTAAAAAGTAGGAAAAAAAATAAAATTCCCAAGCTTTAGACAAAGATAGGCTAATATATCACAAAGGCATAAATAAAAGTTTCATAGCTAAGGCTCATTAACAAATATACCCAATAGTTTTTTAACTCAGTTTTTGCAAGGTAGAATTAAGAACAAAAAAGGGTTTTGTGTATAGCTGTGAATATAACATGTCACAAGTAGAGAAAAGACAGTTGCTGGATTACATGGCTACTAACTATGATGACTCAAAGAAATGTTTTCTAATAATAAAAAAGTCCATCACTGTCACCTTTTACAAATATGTGTGACTTACGTCTTTAAAAACACATTTCTTTCAACCATTTTACTCAGCTGTTATAAAGAGAAACGAAACGATCTTTTCCTTTGTTACCCTCAATCTCTCAGTTTTAATTTCTGTAAATGCAAGGCATTTAAATATTTAAATCCTTGCACATAGAACACAATATGAATCAATTTGAGAAGACTTCATTGTTTCGTTTGCCCAAGTCCATTATATATAATTGGTACATGAAATAAAGCAGTCCTTGCCGAGACTCATATCATTCATCAACATCGTACTGTACTACACAGAAGATAAGGGTCGATTTTCTTGAGAAAAGTCCAAAGTATATGCTACAATTCAATCCGGTTACCATGTCACCGTGAATCGCTTATTAAATTTTCTTTTCGCATCATCAACATCCGTAAAAACGACAATAGTTTACCATATTTTAAGATTTTTACATAAGCCAAGAGATTTTTCTTGATTTTGAAGTCATTTTATAGTTCACTTGCCCGCCATTACAAAGCATAAATTGATTAAACTTTATGTCATTTAACGTAGACAACACTCCACGCAATTTCCACGCAAGTTAACTACGCAGTTACTTGACTATCCGACAAACTACGTTTTGTGCAACGTAGTTAAGTCGAGCAGTTAAGTTACTACAGTTAAGGAGTTAACTACGATAGTTAGCGTTAACTATAGTTAAAGTTAACTACGTTTTTATACAACCGGCCCCTGGAGGAGAAAAGGAGCCTGGACCCCGTGGTCGAAAACATGGCGGATTTTGGTGGTCAAAACTTCCACTTTAAAAATATTTTTTATTATTCACTCCCTCCTGATTTCTTATACGAACGATAACAAGTGAGAAAAAACAATTACAATACCGACAGCATATCATGTGAAAATAATGCGTCAGGATTGCGTGAAAAACACAGCACCCACACATCAGAATAAAGAAAATCGACGGTAGAGAAACCCATATTTTGGCTTTAAGATTTAAGTTATTTTATGACATTTTAACCTTTTAAAAGGGAAAATCAAACGGCATTCTTTAGTAGACCTGTCAATCTCTTCAAACTTATACATTATTTCATGCCTCTGTGTGTTTGACTGTTTTTAAACTGTTTGGTGCAACTATTTTCCTTGCTCAAATGGATAAATCTGTGTTAAAATACGCCTAAGGAAGCGAGAAAATGTTTGCTTTAGTCCTACGACATAAGTCCATTGAATATTTACCATGGATAAGTATCATAAGTGTATTGTTATTAACTGATAAATCTACTGAAAACTCATAAATAAACTATGTCGAACTAGAAGAGCTACAAAAAAGAAAAAAATTCAAAACACCATGATGATACTGTTGGTTGGAAATTTGTATTTTGTAAACTGCATTCAGAAACATGTAACGATACTCCCGGGTTCAAACCATTTACTTTAAATAGTAATTTTGTTGACGTTTCCCCTCTAGGTCTTATAGAACTCAATGATGTGAACGGGACGATCAGATTACATGTTAGAACTGAATTCAAGCTAAAAATACAATCGCAAACAAAGTTTAGAGACTCTTAGTTTTATAGACGATAAATTTCGATAATTTTTGCCGAAGTTGATGTCGAAAACAATTCGCTTCATGTCACCTTGAAGCCATATGACGTCAATTTGCTTGCACTTTAATAGCTGTTTGCATGCTTCTCATAATATTGCGGTATGATGGAGGAAAGAAAACCAACTAGGCGAGGTGGTCGATATTGTGTGACTGAAAATATTGAAAACTTATATTCACTTCATGTCACCTTAAGAACACGCATATGACAATGTTCCAGAACCTGGAATCCTCAAAAATTTAAGCTTTATAATATGGCAACCATGGTGCATGGAATAATCTTTACATTTTTTAGAAATTTACTAGATTTCAGTTATTACATTAAGATAAACTTTTGTTGTAGAGCCTCTCAAATTGTAGTCATGAATGATTTTCACATCTTGAAAAGCTTCGTCTTTGAGGAGCTTAGCTATTAATTGTATCACGTCTAGCTTTTATTTGCATTCTACGTTCTTCAAGTGTCAGTAAGATTTATCCATTTTTTTGAATTTTGCTAAAGAAATGCATTTGTTTCCCTGTGGATTATTATTACTCGGGTGTTTCCGAATATTACATTGAACCCTGCTTATTTCTTTTTCCAAAAAGGAATATTCCATGTGAAAACCGTCATTTTTTGCTTTATTGCCAAAAGTTACATAAGAGGTAATTTATACTAACATTATTGTTCCAAACCAAAAAAATGTGTGCATAAAGCGCGCGTTTGGTAATCAAATCCTCTTTATGATTTCTGCTATCTTTAAAACAAGGAACGGTAAAAGGGAAAGGGAATGGGATAAGGAAATGAAAGGAAAGGAAAGGAAGTGTTGGAAGGGAACGTTGACGGGAGGTGAAGAAATATTTTTTTATATGTACCTACTATAATTTTGCAAGTAGTGGTACTAGTACCTGCAATCTTTATTTTTAACACACGCTATGTTAGACTTACGTAACATTTCTTGCGTTACGACAGGTGACAGTAAACTTTAAAAAATTGTCCTGCGAAAAAAATCACCATTAATTGTTCTATAGCTACTTATCCAAAAATAGATTTTTGTAGTTGTTGTTCGTCCATCGCAAGCGATGATGACCTTGACCAGTTAACTCAAATACTAGAAGATTGGGTACGGTGAGTTCTGAGGTGGCTAATGAGTCCAATCTTGGCACGGAATGTTCTTGAACACGAAGGGCAAACCAGAGATGCATCTGATGTTGAAGCACTGGCTGCTCTTGATTTCCGCAGCTCACGTTTCTGTTTGGCATCCACAGTCCGCCCTTCTTCTGATGCTTGACAGCCCTTAAAGATGAGATCGCGCCAGGTTGATCGGTTCCCTGCAAGTTTGTCCCATGTTGCGGTGTTGATGTTAAAGGACTTCAGTGAGGTCTTTAACGTGTCCTTGAACCGCTTCTTCTGGCCTCCGACTGATCTTTTGCCGTTGGAGAGCTCACCATATAGCAGTTGCTTAGGTATACGCTCATCTGGCATGCGAGCAATGTGGCCCGCCCATCGGATCTGTGCTCTCATCAGCAGGGTGTAGATGGATGGCTGGTTGGATCGAGAGAGGACATCTGTGTCTGGCACCTTGTCTTGCCACTTGATTCTTAATATCCGACGGAGACAGGTTGTGTGGAAGTGATTCAGCTGTCTCGCATGCCTCTGGTAAACAGTCCAGGATTCACATGCAAAAAGGAGAGTTGGTAATACTATGGCAGAGTAGACCTTCAGTTTCGTTGCAGTGGTGATCCTCTACGCTCCCAAACGTTTGTGCGCAACCTGCCAAATGCGGAGCTGGCTTTGGCGATCCGGTTGTTCACCTCTGCATCAATAGTCACGGCTCTGGAAAGAGTGCTCCTAAATATGTGAATTTGTCAACTGTCTGCAGACGCTGTCCATTCACCAGTATGGTAGGCTCAGTGTAGTGTGTACGAGGAGAAGGCTGATGCATGACCTCTGTCTTCTTGGTACTGATGGTTAGACCAAAGTTGTCACAGGCTGCGGAAAATTTATTCATGCTGATCTGCAACTCCGATTCTGAAGACGCGTTGAGGGCGCAGTCATCAGCAAACAGGAAGTCACGAATGATGGTCTCCTTAACCTTGGTGTTAGCTTGCAGTCTACGTAGGTTGAATACGCTCCCATCCATTCTATATTTGATGCTGATACCATCTACACCATCGTGATAAGCATCAGTTAACATGGCAGTGAAAACCATGCTGAACAATGTTGGAGCCAGTACGCAGCCCTGTTTGACACCATTTGTGACTGGGAAGGGTTCGGAGTATTCACCATCAGCTAGTACTCTGGCCAGCATGCCATCGTGAAACTGACGAACCATCAAGATGAATTTCTCTGGACAGCCAAACTTGGACATAATTCTCCACAAGCCTTGACGGGAGACTGTGTCAAAAGCTTTTGTCAAATCAACAAAGGTGGTGTACAGATCTTGGTTCTGCTCTTGACACTTTTCCTGGAGTTGTCGTGCTGCGAAGATCATATCAACAGTTCCACGGCCCTTACGATAACCACACTGCGATTCTGGTAGTAGTCCTTCTTCAAGGTGGTCTATTAGCCGGTTTAGTAACACTCGGGCAAGAACTTTCCCAGCTATTGATAGGAGTGAGATGCCACGATGATTATCACAGGACTGACGATTACCCTTCCTCTTGTATAGGTGAATAATCGAGGCGTCTTTCAATTCCTGGGGGATGGATCCTTTTGCCCAGAAGGATTGGAAGAGGTCAGTGAGCTTCTGGATAAATGTGGGACCACCAACTTTATATATCTCGGATGGAATAGCATCTGCACCAGGGGCTTTACCACTAGAGAGCTTGTTTATTGCCTCCCTGACTTCTGATTCAACAGGTGGAACATCCATGGTCGTGTTGATGTTGACCTGGGGCAACCTGTCTATTGCCTTATCATTGATGGAAGAAGGACGGTTGAGGACAGCTTCAAAATGTTCAGCCCACCTATGCAAGATCTTTTCCTTCTCGGTAATTAGTGAAGTCCCATCTGAGCTCAAGAGAGGGGAAAAATCACCATTAATTGTTCTATAGGTGACAGTAAACTTTAAAAAATTGTCCTGCGAAAAAAATCACCATTAATTGTTCTATAGCTACTTATCCAAAAATAGATTTTTGTAGTAATAGCGTTAGAAATATCGTTACTATGTATGTTTTCCGAAAAGTACATTATGTAAGTTCTTTTTTTATTTATTTAATTTCTTTTTATTGCAATTCATGAGAAAATAAAGAGGAAAGGTTTCCAATAGGTTTCCAAAGGTTTCCTCATGCTTTCCAATAGTTACTGTGACTGTGTAAAGTTCAAGTAAAAACGAAAATAGTCGTGAACAAATCTGATAATATTAGCAATGAAAATCATTTGCTTTAAAACACTTACAGTGCGCGTATTCAATGAAATTATACTCGTGGTAAGCAAAAGCGCAATATTTAAAATGCTGCGTTTTGATAGTACGCTTTTGTACCTTGAACTGTGTTTTCGGAATGGGGGGCGAACTTCAAAATCAAAACATATGTTTAGGAAAGAAATAAAAGAGGAGTTGTGCTATATAAATGGTAAGCATTTTACATGCATGGTTTGTCAAATTATCCTTTCTGACAAAATGGAATGCTAAAATTCAGCTACCATCAAAGAAAGACTAATTGAGAAACGTCCAGTATTTTTTACTCCATAGACATTCTTCTGAATTGAATAGACTAACTAAGGGTATCACATGAATTTCATGCAGTTATGATGGATTGAATGTTTTTCCTTAAGTCTAAGCCCTGACGTTTTTTGCACTTTAAATTGTAGCAGTAATATATCCACATAATATAAAGGTGGTCTGTGATTAGGTCAATCAGACAAAAGTGATAAACACTAATTATTTCCTCTTTATAATACTACATATCTATCGAAATCACTGATTATACAGGTGGATACCAGCCTAGTGGCAGCTATTGTTTGAAGCAATCATGATTAACGCATTTTATGTCATTTCGAAGTGCGGGAAAACTACCGTCACGTCCCTGGTCGTTGCGTTGAAGTGTGTAAATAGTTTCCAATCATGATGTATTAGGATCTCGATGGTGTTCCTGCACTCCAATCAGAAAATGTCTCATTATGAGCATGAAACCCAACATAAGACTTTTTTAGAGCAATTACGACGACTATTTAGTTAGTAAAAGATTTTTTAATTGAAACAACAATTATTTACACGAGGCTTCATGTATACCAGAAGATAGTTTTATATTTACAGTACATTGAATTACTTATAAAGAAAATAGGAACTTTGCATGACAAGACAGATTGTAAGGGGCAACTTTTTAAACTAAGTTAACGGGACTGAGGTTACCTTTGGTTATAAGAGAGGGCTTTTGTGAATCATGAACTCGTAAGCCAGGAAATGAGAAGGCTTTTGTGAATCATGAACTCGTAATTGTCAGAGGAAGGAGAGAAAATTGAGAAGTCATTAAAATTGGCATGTGTTATATGAGAAAGAATGGCCGATGGTGGTGGACAAGAGGAATGCTTTCCTTTTAAATTAGGGATTCACAAGTGTTATAATACTCTGGTGTGCAAATGATGTGTGGTTTGGCCCACAAACGACGCAGAACAGCATCGACACTTAAATGAGTATAGAACACCAGCAGTAGAAGCCAGCTTGTTTCTTACTCCTATGAAAATATTTGATTGTTCATTCACTTGAAAAACAATGAATGCAATTAATTTTATATAGAAATGAATAATTTTGCTGACAGGCTGACAAGCTGACTCTTTTACTTACGGCGAGAATGCTGTGCGAGTACATTGTTACTGATAAGGAAGTGCGTATCGCAAAAATAGTGCTGTCTTCCTATTATTGCTACCAAGTTTGTATGCAATTTTCCAATCAACTTTAAATTTTCAGTCATCAATACATCTCGCAGGCATATCAAGTGCGATAGCACGGTGAAAGTCGTCTAAGTGCTATCAGCATGACCAAATATTACACACAGTTATTTGTTTCTTAAAAATCATATGGAATACACACTGTATTTAATTAGCAATATCTGCAAAACAGTTTTATAATTTATGCAGTTTGGCAAATCTATATCTTTAGTATAAAAATGCTATGTCAATTGCCTGTACCCGAATTTCTATTTTTTTCTTAGTCCTAGCTCCGTACGCGCATTTTCCATTTATCTGACATCATCCCTATTTTTATATTGGACACGTATATGACACAAAATGTAAACTGTTTTTTTGTCCCTAGTACAGAGAATAAGTCCTGAAGGGAGCTCTAAGATACAACTTCAGACGGTCCTACATGATGGAAACTCATACAGCTTTCATTTTGTCAATCCTTTGGGAAATGAACGCAAAGATCGCGACGAAGTAAAAGATCTTTTGGCACAATTAATCCCTGCTCATAGGAATAAAGCAAATAAGGATTTAGAAGAAAAAACAAAGTATGTGGCCAATGACTTGTAAATGACGTCATAGGCGGTGGAAGATGGTTTATGTATGGGATGGGGGAGGGGGCGAATCCTTGGGCTCGAGTACAAAAATTGTGGCTCGGATTCACGAAGAGCTTCGAGAATGACTTAAAATGTACCGTCTTATCACAAACTATATAAATAAAGGTATCAGAGAATGCCAATTGTATAATATGCAATGATCCACCCACCTGCAAAATCCTCCCTCGCTTTTCAGAAAAAAAAATCGTTAAAACATTTTATCCCTTTTTATCGTAGTCAGTATTTATCAAGTCATAGAGCATCCTCAAATAATCACAAAAGGGAAGCACCCCTCTTCCGCTGCCTGTGGTACTCGTTACGGCAAATGGGAACCTTACTTGATAGTCTATTCGCAAAAATTCCCTTTTTAAAAACTGGGATCTCGGTACCTATTTTCTTTGGTAAGAAAAATATTTTGAAATTAAAGATTTGATGTTTTTTAATCACGAGACTTATACATTCTTTCATGTCTTGGAATGTTCAATCACTGTGTACAAAGAAGATACCGCATCAGTGATCTTGCATTTCAGTAGCGAAGAGATCCAACCTTTGTACTGTTTTGAAATCAATAACGTGTTAAAGATGATAAACATTGGGTATAGGAGAAGCAATTTGCAAAGTAAAATCATGAAGCCTTTAGCTCAAGTTAATAGTGTTTGAATTTTCTTAGTAAAAGCTATGTTCATGCTTTGTTTCACTTGCTTCTCCATCATTTTTGAAGACTACTGGAAGAAAATCCTGATCTTTATCAACTCTATAAAGACTTGGTTGTCAGTGAGATTTTAACCGCGGAGGAATTCTGGTCTAACAGGAGTAATAATATGCAGGTATGATTTGCAATGTGATGGATGAAAAGTATACTGATGAAGAGCGTGGTAAGCAATTAATTCTTTTTGAAAGAGGTGCATGAGATGTATTTCTGATTTGTTATCACAGCAACGTGGTTTTCTTTACTTTATTTTTGATTGCGTACATATACATATTGATGTATTTTTTTTTCATTTTTAACTACTTGCACACAATCTTTCCATGATGGAGAACTAGATGAAATTATAATTTGAAGCCAAAATGAAACCTATAGCTTCTCAGTTAAAATATATAAAGTTGGAAATGGTTATTGTACTCAGACTCTCAAAATGCAAAATTGCCCTTTAAATAGCCCATTTCTTTGTGCCATCTCGTAGAAGTAAATAAATTCTTGACTATACATTTCTTATATCGAGTACATTTGACGGTGTTTTAACATTTGTAGACATCAAGCGTCGATGCAGCTGTCACAACTGCTCAAACCATTGGTCTTTCTTCTGGATTTTTGGTAAACAGTAACATCTCTATGAGTGCTTTTTTGTGTGTTGCCTACTTGCAGTACATGTGTCGATAGAAATATTAGAAATGAAATGCTAATGCATACGCAGGAGCTGTGTATGGTAATTATGAGAAATATCCATCGTAGTGGAACAAGATGGCCAGAGCATTAAAGCATGCTAAATTTAGGAATTTTTTTGTTCATGTGATCGCATCAATTCAACATCTGAAAATCCTAATGTGATATGGCAGCTTCTATTAAATCTCCATTTTTATTGGTTTATTTATGCGGTGCTAGTTTTTGTAGACTGACTATATTTCTTGTTTGTAGTCTGAAGTGAAACCTGAAAGCAGTGGTTGTAATGAACTTCGATATAATCTTGACGCAGATACAATTACGGCGATTTTCAAAACTTATCCAGCTGGTATACTTCATATTTTATTTTATGAAACTTACCATACCTTTATCCTTTTAGAAATAGATTTTAGAATGATGGTCTTGCGACGTGACAATGTTTATTTCTGTGTTTGGATGGCAAATAATATTTTACAAATTTTTTTCTGAACGCAAATAACGTAAAATGTAACTTGCAATGATTCGAAACAATGAACAGGACAATTTCCAATAACTGCGTAAAAGCACTATTGATATTGCGCATTTAATAAAAACGACAAGTTTTTTTAAAATAAACATGTTTCAACATCTCACGATGCCATCTTCAGTATTATAAAGAATATTATATATGTGATGAATATATGTAAGAGTAATATGATACTGTGATACAATTTATACACTTATGAATAGATTATTATATTACAATGAAATAGTGGTTAGAATTAATGATGAAAGTATTTACAGGCTGAATATAGTTTTGGAACAAAAAACTTGAACGTTGAGATTGGGGTTAGTTTTGTTAATGTGAAGTGCTTCTTTGGTTTTGAGTGCTAGTGTAGTATCTGCAGTGTCGATGATTTTAAAGCAAGAGGGTGAATAGTTAGTTTTGCACGAAGGTGATTTTAAAAGGTGTCGAAAGATATGTGACTTTTTGTCAGTTGTGGTGTGTTCCCTGATTCTGGTGACGGGAAGTTTCGCCAATGTATCGGGAATTACATCCCGCACAATCGAATTGGTATATCACCATAGATTTAAGAGAATCAGGGATAGGATCTTTGAATGAGAAGTTGTTTTGGATTTTGAGGGAAGTGAAAATTAGTCGGTTGTTGGTTTTGTTTTTCAGTTTCGAAAGAAAATTTAATGTTCGTGTGTTGTTTGTTGGTGTAACTAAAAAAGTTCATAGCCTCAGTCTCGTTTGTAAAAACACAAAAAATATCGTCACGTATCTGCGCTAGAAAAATGGTTTTGTGTTGTTGTAGTTAGTGATCCAGTTTCGTTCATGTGAACCCATAAAAATGTTTGCAAGTATAGGTGTTAGGGGAGAACCCATCGCAACACCGTCGTTCTGGTCATAGAATTTTCCATCAGATAAAAAGTGTGTTTGTGCCTTTGCTATTAAAAACAGTTGTTTTAGGTCTGTCTTGGTCATGGTGAACTGAGGGTTGTCGGTGAAAATAGCGTCAATGGCTAGATCAATCGTTTCAGTAAGCGGTATGTTAGTGAATTGGCTTTCAACGTCGTAGGAGATGAAGAGTTTGAGACATAAAGTTGATGAGTTGAAAGATGAGACTTCGTCGAGGAAATTGAAAGAATCTTTAGTGGAGTGGTCATCTTGTATTAGTGGTGTTAGTATGGAACTGAGATACTTAGCTAGATTATAATTGTAAGCGTTCGTTGATGAGATTATTGGTCGTAGTGGAGGCGATTGTCCTGCTTCACGTTTCTTGTGTAATTTGGGTAAGCCATAAAAATGGGATGGTTGAGAGCTATTTGGCAAAATGTCGTTGTATACTTCGTTGTCAATTGAACTCTTCTTTCTCAATTTTCTTTGCAGTCGTTGTAATTTAGCTTCTCGGGATAGTGTAGGACCTTCATCAAGCGGTGTGAATTTTGGTGTTTTTATTATTTGAAGACAGGAATTTCGATATATTTGATATAGTTTGGTGGATACTTTCAAATGTTGTCAGGATATCGGTAGAGCTAAGTCGTAGTGGTTTGATACTGAAGCCTAGGCCATTTTTCAAAAGTTCCTGTTCTTCGTCTTTCAATTGGTGTGTTGATAAGTTGGTGACTGTTTCGTTGTGTGGGAATGGTAGAGCTTTGTTCTTCGTTAGATGACTAAGTTTCTTTCGGTGTGTGAGCATAGTTTTACATAAGTTTTTCTTTGTGTTCTTTTTAAGAGCTTTGTTTAGAATAGTCCAATCAAGAGATGATGGAGTAGTCTTTAAACCTTCTGCCATATTTTTTGATTCATTTCCTAACTTCCTTTCATCCTTGCTTCGTTTCGTGATTGCACTGCGTAATAGACGTTTACGTATCGCAAAGCTATCTTGGTTGCTGACATTTGGTAAAGCAAAGCAAAGAAACTTTGGGTAAACTCCAAGCGATTTACCATCTTTGAGGAACGTCAGATCTAGTTCTGCTTTCCGTTTTTTAATTGTGAGCTTTTCAAACTTTTCACATTAACAAAACTAACCCTAATCTCAACGTTCAAGTTTTTCGTTTTAACACTATATTCAGGCTGTAAATACTTTCATCATTAATTCTAACCACTATTTCATGGTAATATAATAATATATTCATAAGTGTATAAATTGTATCGCAGTATCATATTACTCATATATATTCAACACATACATAATATTCCGATATTTTTCAGTAAAGACCGAGAGAGCGAGGTTATTAAAAGGTTTATTATATGGCATTATTTGACTTGAAACGAAGATTGGTTTCTTTCTCGTCTTTGCTCTTTTGTATGGTTTGGTTTTCACTTTTCTAGTTTTCGTCAGTAGAAAATAAATTGTTTCAAATTGTATCGTCTGGAAAGTTAAACTGTTTTCCGAGTGTTTTTCCTTCGACTCATATTCGCAAATGGTTTTTTGCTTCTTTTTTTTGCGTTTTGCTGTTTTCTTAACAAAGTTCATTTACATTTGACTGTAAAATTACGCGTTTTAGACCGTGGCGATTACGGGAAAATAATGGACCGGCAAAAAATTTCAGGGCCAATCAAAGCGCGCCATTTTTATGGAAGAGACGCTTGCCATATAATAAACATTCATAAATAAATTGTCCGCCTGTTTATTAAAATAACATACAGGTGTTTGAAGTAATGATTTTTGTTAAAAATCATAAAATATATTTGATGATTTAGAGAGCATGCAGCTTATAATTATAAAATGCTATACAATTAAATGCTAGTAAATTTTGTACTTATGCGTCAAGAACTAACATTGCTCAAAACTTGAAGAATTAAACTCTTTAAAATATATCTATTGTTTGGGTGATAAAAAGAAATTTTAGTTTCATTTAATTTTATAGAAAAAAATAGAACTCCTGACTCCTCCCATGACCAGTATTTTTTTTAACTAAGTTTACGATGGCAGTTTTAAAAAATACATACACTTTATGTGACTGTAAGCAAACTGTTATTATTATTTATTATAGTCAAGAAGAAACACGTGGAAAACGTTCCAGGGCAGGTTGACTATTTAATTTTATATTATTTAAAAGCATGATATCCGATCAGTTATAGTTCACCAGTGTGCGCCATGCTTGGCAAACAGTTCTAATGGTCGATCAAAAATTTGAAAAATAATTCTATGTACTTTAACGTTCTCTAATACAGCTTTGAAACCAACATTTATAACATCATTTCAAATTAATTTTATACATACATGTAAGTTTTCATAAATTACAATATAAAAATATCAAGTCAATTGGTAAAGGTTGTAATAAAACTTGGTTTGAAATGAGGAACGCAAACAAAGCCAAGTTTTAGCGAAAGAATGTGCGTTTACTTTCGCGTGCACCAAGTTGCTTGGAAGTTGTTATAGCTTGTGCTACACAGTCCATGTTTTGACTCAGGATAGTTACGTTGTCTCTTCGATGATTAGTTTTCGTGCACAGGCCTGTTTTAAAAGGACTTTCCAGAATAGCCCTCCCACTTCAAAAAAGTTCGGTGCCAGCTGCGCCATAGAACTTTAGAATCAGAAAATGTTTTTGCTTATTCCTCGCTCGTCTCTTCTTAGAGAATTTTTTCGATGAGCCAACATTTTTTCATACAGCATATGTAGGATAGTTCGCCTCTCTGAGTTGAAAAGCTTTCAATGGTTTTCATGCAGCTACATTTCTGTTTCATACAGTGTTTTTTAGAATATTTTTTCCGACAAAGCTTAGGCCATAGTTACCCATTTTTTGTCTGTCGTGTTTCAAAAGCTTCTAGAATCATCGTGCTAATTTTGAAGTAGCTAGTGCTTAGGGCGAAATCGGTCTTTTTCTGACATGTCTTTTTAATAATTACTTTCCCAGATGAGCGAAAAGGAATTTTGGACAAAGTTTTTTCAATCACATTTCTTTCACCGTGATCGACAGAAGTCTTCGTCCGATCTTTTCTTGGAATGTGCAAATCATGATGAGCAGGGTATGCTACATATTGTTGTTTCTCATAATTTGTATTTTGTTGTTATTTATAATGTGTTGTGGCTAAGTCAAAAAATTGGTTCTGCTTAGAATTTCTTCATCAAAAACTTTCTAAATTTTACGATCGTCTGTTGGATATATCTGAAGAATCTCCCATTTCTGATCACGTACGTATGGTGAAGTTGTTTTACTATGTAATGTTCTTTCATCTTTTGTTAGTATTTTATTTTTACCATAAAATTGTCTTAAAAAGAAAGGCGCTGATTGTTTGATTGTTCAAAAAACTGTGTTTCTATAACCCTACAAAAAAACGGGAATTTTAAACTCGCAGGTAATTTAAAATACAAATATGTGCTGTTTAAGTATAAAAATATACTAATCGCCATACCTAAAAGGGAATTTTTAGAAAGGAAATAAAAAAGTTTATGTTTTCCTATTGTGTTGTAAAACACTTCTGAAAGTTTTAGGGGAAACTCGAAATTGCTTGGAAACACTCGAACTTCATTTCGTGCCACGCAGTTTCTCAATCATTGACATCTTTTTATTTAATATCCATTTACCTGTTAGGGCTACGGTTTGACTGCACCTTTAGCAAAAGTGGAACAGAAAAATCAAAGTGATGATTTATTCCGACGTTTTAACCATCAGAGTTCAATGGTACTAAAGTCGACTATAGATTCAAGGCAAGATTTTTATAAGTAAATGCTTTTGTAAAAGAGGAGCGTTTTTGTTCGATCTTCAGATTTCACCAGTTGAATTATCCACTGAGCAAGCTATTTAGGTATTTGTAATTTGCTGTATGATTTTCAACTGCTATTTCCAACCTTATTTTTTTCAAAATGACACTCCAAACTATACAGAATTTTATAAAACAGTACTAGACTTGCCTTTTATAAATGTTTTATTATGACTATAGGGTCCACATACACCATCAAAGGACACTCTTTTATCAGTAATAACTAACTGTAACCAAGTCCGTGTTCTCTCGTGCTCCTATCTAATATTTGCATTTTACCCACGTGATACTTAACCAATCATTTAACGTAATTAATGCTAACTAATTAAATCAATAAACTAATTTCTACAAGCATGTTACTTACATCATCTGTTGAGGTCAGCAGATAGAGTGTTAACCATAAATGAGTACACCCTAGACGATCTTTCAAACAAATCCTTATCCTGCCTTGATAGTTAGCAGGATTTCACAATAAAGGGAACAGTAATTATGTCCAGTATAGTATGCAGATTACCCAAAAACATCAATTCATGGGATGATGGTATTTGTATGCTTGACAGTGTCTCAAAATTTAGAAAGTCTATAAAAATCAATATACCGTTTTTGTGTTAGGCATATATGATACCACACACAGCTCATTGGAGATGCTTAAAACGCGTTTGATATTTGACTCATCTGTCACGAATGACAAATGTTGTTCAAAACTTCCGCGCACACAATGAAATTTTGTCGATCACACTTGTCACGAATAACAAGTACGCGCGGCAAGTTCACCAGTGTGCGGCGGGCTTAACACTCGCCACAATGCAGCATGTTGGCAATAAGTCTGGAAAATTCATTCACGTATTATGCCTTCTATTTTTTATAAATTTTGAGCAGGTCCACTCTTTCTGTCCATGTCCTGTTCCTTGCATAACAAGGCAAATGGCACAAAATGTGAAGCAACTATTAAAAGATCTAACATCATTCACTTGCATGAGAAGCAAAGTGGATACAAGAAAATAAGCAGTTCTCTTAATATAGGTGGAAGTACCATGGGCAAAGTGATACAGCGCTTTAAATCGAAAGAATATGTAATTTTTGTAGCACATCGTTCTGGTCGGCCACTCAAAATGACAACACGAGTAAATTGCTACAATTGGAGAACACGCGCTGTTTACCTCGCTGAATTGATCGGTTGACATTGTGGACTTGTTGTTTCAACTACCAGAGTTAGGCGCATATTGAATGATCATGATATGCATGGCCGATGACCAAGAAAGAAACCGTTGCTTCAAAGCAGATTATCTTTAACTGCGATTATCTTTTTTTTGAATGATTACGTGAATAAAACTGTTTTACTTACTGGAAGAAAATACTTTGAACTTATGAAACTAAAATGAATCTTATTGGGTCTGATGGCATTCAAGAAATATGCTGAAAAACACACGAAATATACAAAAAGAAGTGTATGGTACCCACAGTAAAATGCAGTGAAAGGAGTGTCCTCGTTTGGGGAAGCATGAGTTCCCAAAGTGTAGGCCTTATGTATTTTATTGATGGCATTATTAATGTTGTAATTTATTGCGACATTATGCAAAAGAAGTTGCTATACCTTCTCTTCGTCGACTTGGTCATGGAGGAATAATTTAGAACAATAACGACATACATACAGCCAAGAAGACCACAGCTTACCTGCAGCCCCAAAAGGTTGAAGTACTGCAATGGCTAAATATGTCACCAGTTCTAAACACAACAGAACACCTTTAAAAAGGGTGCTTCAAAAAGTCAAGTTGAAAAACGAGCTCCTTCCAATATTACTGAATTGAAGAACATCATCGAAGAAGAGTGGGACGCAATTCAACCAACCGTTTGTTTTGATGTCGTACATTAGTGCCTAAGGGGCCGATTACATGGAGCAATTTCAACCCGGAGCCTGGGCTGAAAAATTTGTCATGTAATCGTTTGAGCCCGGGCTGAAATCACAGCTGAAAATATTCATGCATGCGTAATTGCGTACCTATTGTTTATGATGACTACAACAAACTGACAACAAATTAACGATAGCTGGCGATCATGTCTCGGACGAGCTTCGTAAATTTCAGCCCGGCCAAATAAATGATAACACACATTTTTGCTATCCATATTCTTCGATTTCACTTCAATCCTGGCAGTGTCCACCGATATTCATTGTTTTTGCCAGTGTACTCATTTACAGTTTATTCTCTAGTTTTAAGTTTTTTTTATTTTGGTAGAACATCTGACGAACATTGGAAACCACTTTTCCAACTTTTGCTCTTTATTTCTGCTAACTTTGCATTTTGCTTCATTTTTTTAGAGAATTATGAACAATTCTTAATTTTTTTCTTTAGATCTGATATAATAAATAAGCAGTCAAAGAATAGTTATACAAATGAAGAACATGACTCACCATTAAAGAAGGTAAACATGCATTTATAAGTTAGATTAATTGGTAAACTTTTTTTGTCTAATTTTGATGATAACATTTCCTGCTCATCAACCAATGTACCAAATCTGGGCCAAAATTAATTCAAGATTCCCAAGATGCCTTATCATGTTGTTATGAATATTTTAATTTGTTGATCTTAATATGAGCAAAGCAATTTGGCGCGGCAACTGATTTTGTGGCTCATACGTTTGTCTTATACGTGTTTCATGGCCACCTTGACACACGAATAACTTATTTATTTTATCTGAGGCTCGACTTCGTGGGATGGTAACTTATGAAGACTTAGAGGACGAAGCCATAACAAAATCTTCGACGCTAAAGATCAAGGACAAAAATCAGTTTTGTCAAGGAATTCCAAACGAATCATCGTTCGTAAAAGAGGTGATATTCTTAGAAACTTAAATGTTACTTTTAACTTGAAGTTCTTATTTATCTGTTTTGTTTTACCAACACTGCAGCCTTCAGGTGATAAGCAAATATGTTCTCAAACATGTTTTTGCGCATTTTATTAGCTTTCTTTGTTGTCCGAAGAAAGCTAACAAAAAACCCGTTTACGTAAAAAAACAACAACTGGAAACTGCGAATCATTTTATCCACATAAACTCAGAGTGGATAACAAAGGTTAATTTTAGTCAAAACATAAATTATTTTACTTTTGATCAATTTAAATAATACAAACTTTCTGTGGTTGCTGTGTGGCTGCAGCTCTTTTCACTGGAAATTTTCACGGTAACAATTTTTTTGTTTTCGCGAAGTTTTTATTATAAACTTACGTAAGCTGGATAACTCTCCTCACAACAGGAATCCAGCCACACAGTTAAAGAAAGTACCATGTGCCAAACCTCTTAGTTTCATTTGTTTCATAACTTCTTCCATGGAATTACTACTAGTCAAACTGTTTTGGAGGTAAACTAGTCAAACAGTGATTACTCATCTAAGTAATTTGAAATTCTATCTTTACCAACTGAAAATGTGACGAAAGTGTATGAAACCAATCTCCTAAATAAGACCCTAAACTTGTTTTAAAAATAGAAATTTTACATATCATTATTTTCAAACTTAAATTGCAAAATGATCTAATAATCCTTATGGTGCTGTGAAATTTCGTAAATTGTTTTCTTTTGAATCAAGGCCTAAAACTTAACTTTTCTTTAACAAAAGCAGGTCCCTCAAGACAGTTATTCATTCATAAATGGCAGTTATAATCATCTTTCTTACGCAATGAAATGTTCAGTTGATGTTGAAGAATGGCAACCAGATCTTACCGAGGTATACTAAATGCTATAAATGGTTTGTGTACGGGCAAGGAAGGAAAATAATCCCTGGCTACCAGTTTTTAGTGTAAAAAGTGAAAAGACCAAGTTGTTTTAAAAATTGAAAATGGATGTTTCCGAAGAAGCATTGACAGCGCTATCTAGCTATATAGTTACTTAGTTTATTGTGTTTTACTGTTAATGGTCTTGGTTTTAAATCAGCCCCTGACAGTAAGCAATGGTAGCCGTACCAATGGTTCTGTTGCGCCACTGAGAAAACCCAAAACAGAACATGACAAAAATTAAGTTTAGAGAAAGTCTCAATTTTCAGCATGTAGGCTACATAGAAAGTATTTTTCGTACGTAAACTCTAATTCGGTCATCTGAATAATAGATCACTCTATGTGAATGTCAGACCTGAGTTTCTCTTTGAACTAATCTGTATTACGACGTTGATATTAGCACGAATTACAAAAAATCTCAATAGTTCTTTATACTCTATGCATTATTTTTTTTAGATCAATTAGGCATTTGGCGAATTTTAGTTTGTCTTTCATATAATTCTCACAACACTGCAAATGAACATGTATCTAGATTATTTTATGCTTTTTTATGGAAAATGCACCAAAAACTGAAGTAAGAGTAATTTAATATGTATGAAAACTTGCAGGTGGCTCTCTAAATGAAGTTGTCTTGTACTTTAGGTACTTAGCAGCGACAGTGCTTGCGAGGTTTTAACTGAGTTGTCTCCCGGTGGTATTCTAATGAGAGATACATCACAAGTTGTGAACAGTGAGTTGGTTTTCTTGTTAGCAATCTTAGTCTTTTTTTTGTTTTTAACAATATTTGATTCTAGTCTTGTGACTTTCACATGTCTTTAAGACAATTTTTCAGGTTTTAAAGGCTATGTTGATCTCATTAAAATAAAGTGAGACCCAAAAATTTATAGCTACGTTCAATCAAAATGAGAAAAAAAGTTGTAACTATAAAAATATTGAAAAGTTAATTCAAATAACATTATGTACAATTAATATAAATACTTAAAGTTTATTTAAGTAATTGCAACATCTTTGTGACATTATAAAGGTTCGTCAATCATTAAATATTTTATTAAAGCCAAAAATTCGATTTAGAATGTGTTTCTCTGTCATCGTGCAACAGAAAACTTACACAAAAGTATTAGCTCATGCACACCATTCGTAACAGCTATTACACATTTGGCTACAGTTTTTGTATTCAATAAAATTACGAACACACAGAAATGCTGCGCAAGACAAGTTAAAGTGAAAGTGAAAGTGAAAACTATCTCTTTACGAAGGGAAAGTGCTATGTATATTTTATATAAAAGGCACCTGGTTGCTTTCTAAACACAAGGATTTTCTCCCTGATATATCTTTCCAGAATTTCGTTCTACATATATAATGGCATATTGTTGACTGATGTTTTTTTATGTCATATTATCTCAGGTATTGAGGAGAACACTTTTTTGACTGAACTTCGTCAACATTACAATGCAGTTTCAGAATTATTGCGTAACTTTTGGTCTTGTTTTCCTGTCACTTCGTCACTTTTGGAAGACAAGGTAATCAATTACAAATATAAGTTAAATGACTAAGATACATTAATGTACTCTATTTCCGGATTGTAGAGGTACGGGATTTGAAAATCAAGTCAAAATTCAAAAGCTCTCCCAAAATCTGTTTATAGAAGCCTGTGCAAACATCAAAAGTAATCACAAAATCTTTCGTAATGACAACGTGCAATTGCGTCTCAATGACAATTTAATTTTCGAACAATGCTTGCCTTTTTATCGTAATTTTAGACGGTTTGAGTCACTCGTATTTTGCAAACATGTTTGTGTTGCTTTTGTACTCATTTGGCAAATTAGAAGTCGGAGAGTCATTGATTGATAACAAAAAACCTTTTTCGACTTTAATTCAACTACTAACATACTTCACAAAAAACATATATTTGTCATCCATACCGGAAAATTGTTAAAATTGGTTAAATTATGTGAATATGTGGGTTGTAAAAAGTAAAAACAGAAAAACAAAAAAGAACAACATAAGTTTTCATTGCGTATAGTTTAATTAAAACATACAAACGGAGATTATAAACAACATATAGTCATGATCACAGCTCGCTAAAAAATAATTACCAACGCTTTAAATTGACAAATTTACTTGATGCTCTTACAAAATAGCAAAAAAACTTACAACAGTTTATTAAAAAAGAATCTAAAACTCGAAAGCAGACAGCAAAAGCATCATTTGTTTACTTCTTGTTCAATAGCGTCGCCTAAATTCGTCATCAATACCACCTCTAGTTTTGTTTATAATCACCATGATTGAATCTGGGTTTGAACATATTTACAACGAGGCGAGCTTGAATAAACCGTCTGACACAACAACAAACTAGCGAATGTTTGAGAAATGTTATATATTAATATGTTTTAATAGTTGAAGTTAGTTAAAGCTTCTCAGCTTTGCTTCGGCAGAGAACATTGACCTCAATCGAATAATTCCTGATATCATGCGAAAACTGAATTCAATAATTGTTTTGTTATACAACTATAAATACGGAAGCTTTCAAAGTATTTTGTTCTGAAGCCATAAAGTTTTCCGTGTTTGGACGTGAAATAATTTTTGCTGTTCGCTTTTGTCTTTGCCCCGTAATTACTAGGTCAAAAGTCTGGCTTTTTTACGTCTTTATTGTAATTAAATGATTTCAGTGAAAACAGTTCGTATAACGCTTCCAAATCTGGAGCAACATTCCGCCATAACACTTTTTTTACCATTTTCACACGAACAATTATGTCACCTACAGATAATTTTCAAGGTCGTGTAGGTGGCAAGACATAGAGAAATTTCTTTAGGCTCTTAGCCAATCACAATCAAGATTTTACCCGCATTGTGATAAAAATACTTTTTGCTGTTTAGTAGTTCATCGTAATCACTTTCATTCTCTGTCCATTTCATTGCATTTTAAACATGAAGTGAACTTCTTGTAAAGATTTTTTTAAAACTAGAATGATTCTACAAGTGTTTCCATTCAAACACTGAGATTTTCTGCATCAAACGAGCGTCATGATAATTTACCTAGAATTTACTTTGATCTCTGCCCATATAACTAAGTGGTCTTTACTACAGATTATGTTTTAGGTTGAGCGCATGAACAAGAGTTTAGAAAAGTACAGAGATCTAAAGCTTCGTGTATTTATCTCTTCACTGGAAAATCAGAAGGTTTGCCGCTTTTAGTTTTTCCTTTATTTTACGTCAAAGAACTACAGCAACCACAAATGTGACATTCAATAACGTCTTATGAGATATAAATGACTGAGTTGCTGCATATATTGAATGCAATACTCGGAGATATCTTATTTTAATATAGTCATCGTGCTCATTTATCTAGTGTGGTGAACATCTCATGAATATGGTTGACATCGCCATTGCAAAGTATAAAATATTTCTTGAAAAAAAGGGAAAAACGAAACTGAATTGAATGACAACCTTGTCATAAGTTCTTCACCTACTATGAATCAACACCATCAGTACGCCCATTAGTGAAACAGAATGATAAGTGATTCCAAGGTATAAATAACGGTTATCTGTAAAGAAGAATTTGGGAACCAAAGAATGTAATTTGGGGTAAGGTCCAGTGGCGTGACCAGCAGCAAGTTTGTTGTTGCTATGTATGCATTTCGGTTTTCATTCACTGTAAAAACAAAAGATTTCGAAAGAATTAATAATGCTTATGATCTGAAATTGACCCATCACGAACAAACATGCCGGCTGGTTGTGTCACATCGTATGGAATGGTGGAAAAGTGAAACTCGAAATAAAAAAAGCCAGAGTGTGAAATACTCGGAATCAGAAAAGCTGTAGTCTATAAAACCTTTCTTTGCATAGCCGAAACTGTTAGTCACACTCGTTTACTTAGCTAAAAAGAACTTTTAGAGATCTTCCTAACCCTAAAGATTAAAAGTGCAAACAGCCTTAGCGCCCACAAAAGATGGACATTACCCTCCCTTTTATATTTTCCAGACCAGTCTATTTGCGCATTTAAAAATAGAAGAAAATTTAAGAAATAGCAAGAAGCTTGCTGTAAGCATTTACTTGAGCGAAAAGAAGTTCACACGAATGTTCATACAGAAATCGACATGTGTTCCAGTTGTCAGAGTGTAATATATTTTTGTAATATAATTTGTAATTTGTAATATATTTTTGTACACGAAGCCATCTAGATGTATTGTGCGCGAAGTCGTACACCCAAAGGAGTTGGACACCCTTTTGTACCTAGAGTTGGACACCCTTTTGTACCTAGAAATATTTTGGTAGTCGTACATTGCGCACAAACCACAGACACCAAAGTCAACTAAAACATACAAATGAATGTGGTATGCAAATAAAATACATTTTCAGCATTTATATCCATCAAATTGTCGCCCAGAGTCCAGACAAATACAAGCAAAAGTGAATGAAAACATTTATGTATTATTGAAGAAATTGTGCTATTTCTCATTTGTGACCAGTATATAGTCGTATGTCACTCGTATGTACTCGTATGTCACTCGTATGTATTTGTATGCACTCGTATGTCCCTCGTATGTACTCGTATGCACTCGTGTGGTGTTTTAGTAATGATCCAGTAGAGTAGAGTATTTGTTAAGAGCTACATCCTGAATTGCTAATTGTCTTGAATTGCTAATTTTTGTTGGTGTATAGAATATTTTTGCAATAATAACACTATTACCTTAAATCTAGTATTTATTTTTTCGACGTATATCATACCAAACACATTACCCGAATCATGCATTCTTACAACGCTAGTGACAGATTTTTGCGTTTACAACAGAAAGCATACATGTTTTAACCTACTGTTGTCTCCAAGAACATATTTGAAAACACATTAACAAAAACTACATGGAAACGGTAAAAAATCATTTGCTGTCAACAAGTTGAAAAGAAACGGAGCTAGCAAATTTTGAATATGACATCTTAATGAATACGAAATGCAATTAAAAAAATAGTGCAGACTGCAGAGTGCAAAATTGTGATGCGATAATAACAAATAAAGTGTTTAATGAAAAGTGTGATGTTTTCATTGGTGAGAAAAGAGAGATCCAACTGGTGGATAAGTGTATTTTATTTACATGAAAAATTAGCAAAAACATATCTTATAAAATAGTTCGATGACGTGACTGAAATGTCGTCCATTTAAATAAATGAACACACTTACGTAACTTGTACTGGTTAAAATAATATAGGATACTTGTCTTACTAATTTTGAGGCAACCGGCCGTGATGTTTGTTGTTAGTTTTTTCTAGTAACTTCTTCAAAAGAATATACATTCCAAGTATTCTGTGTCTTGCAAACAATATTTAATGTTTTAAAGGAAAATACTTAACACATTGCAAGTATCTTAAAATAATTAATTGTATTTCCTACTCATCTATTTGATGCGTATATTGTGTGAGTATTTGCTGTCGTTTGTGATCATGTAAATTCGCACAAAAAATATTCGTAGATTGTGAAAGTCTGGACAGCGAAATATGTTCATTTGCTTTATGCCTTTCATTAAACTCTCCAAAACGTACTGTGAGCGAAATGAACCAAGCAATAAATAAACTAGAGTAAATGCACTAAACTGGTTAAATACCAAGTATACTGCTCCTACTAAGTTAGTTTTTGGTACCATACGCACGAACGAGATATAATATAGATATTGGAGATCGCCTGAAAATTAAGCCTGCATTGGTCTAATATTATAACCTGTTTAGTTATGACTATTTTCATGATATATTTGCAGGGTTTTGTGAAGACTACGACTCCGATGATTCGCGAGTCAATTGCAATTAGCAAATACGCACGATTTAATAAGTACTAATAGTTAATTTTCATTTTTGTTAACTTTCACATGCGCTCATTGTCTAAAGTTGAACAATTCATATGTTTATTGTGGCAAATACTTATAATTACTTTATAATATACAGCTTTTGCACAGCATTTTTTATTCCGCGTTTTATCCTCTATTCTGCTTCCGCCATTCCTCTTCCGTCATTCCACTTCCGCTTCCGCGGAGGTTTTGTATGGTATCGAGGACCAGGGAAAACAGAAGACTACACCTGCTGTTGTTGCACTGAGAGCAGCATTAAAGTAATCAGACCATCGTCGCTGAAAATATATTGATATAAATCTAAACGTCTCCAGCTATTGCATGTACCTGCTGTTAATATACATGATACTTGTCTATCTTCTGAAATAATTTAGTTTAGAACTTAAAATGATCAGCAGAAAAATTATTTAGTGATCATGAAAAATACTTGACTATTTTGTCAAATTTCAAGTCTTATCAACATGCATGCCTAGGAACACATCTTCACTTTGTACAAAATTTTCCTCCTACATGGACAACCCTTATGTACTTCAGGCAAACAATCTGGGTTGATCCGTTGATCAACACACCTTGACATCTCTACATGAGGTTTTCAGGTAGAAAAAGGGACAATATGGGACATTTCATGGATGCGAAATATCTCTTGTTTAATCCCTGTCATATTGTCAAAATGAAAAGCTTTATGACTCAGAGAGACTTATAATCACTGGTTATAATAAACAGCTTTTCATGTAATCAATATTAGTTTTCTCAAATCTAAAACAATGTATGGTATAATAACCAGTTATTCATTCTCAAATGATTGAATGATCAATGATCATAAAACAAAAAGTCGCAAACATTTGTTTACAATTATATATGAGATAAGTAAGAATATGGCTCCATATGGCCACAGATTTATTGGTCGTGAAATACATTTGTAGGAAAGAAAGATTTTGCTGCCATATTACGACCAAGATACTCCAATCTCCAAAGAAATCATAGCTAAAAGTCCTTCTGCAAGAACAACTTAAGAAGCATCAATCTGCTTACCATATGCCATATTGACATAAATCGGATTACATACTCCCATAAATTGACTCCGATATGATTCAATCGTGCATACATTTCAATTATCCTTTATTTAAGATTTTGAACTTAAATTTCTGCTGAGAAATCTCTAGATAATTAGGGCTTGCTTTTCATCATCAATGACCAAAGTTTTTCTCGTTGAAAAAATTACAGTCTGGATACATAGCATAAAAATCACAGCATACATTTCAATATTTGAATTTGAAAAATATTTTCCTAAAAACTGTGATCGCTCTGACTGTAGTTTCTAACATGCTTTAGCGAATTACTATAAAACGATCAAACATTCGAATCAGACAGTAAGCTTAAATATGTTAATTGGCTATAAGTCAAAATCTGTCAAACCAATTAAAATAAACAAAAATGCAAACGAACCAATTACACGATAGCAATTGGACTCCCTTCAGCCACCCCTCTTTTCAGTCGAGATTATTACGGATTGTCCACTGATCTGGGTTTTGATCAATGGAATGGCTTTAATAAGCGTTCTTGAACTCCCATACCTGTTAAACCAGTCTAGCCACCTCCGCTTATCAGTCAGTCAGTTAATGTAACTTTGACATACCCTATATCCGCCTCTCTGGGATACTCTCAATACAGTCTAGATCCGCCCTGAATAGCAACTCTGCGTTATTATACATTAGTTGCTCGTGGTAGGAATAAAAATGCATTTTCACATAAATTTATGGAAAAATTTAAATGGCTTGAATTGAATCGAAACGTACGAGGATTTCACTCAATACTTACCATAATTTATTAGACGCTTTCAAAACAATTACAGTAACTCCCTTTCATTTGATAAAACACGTCCACAACACGTGAACTAGCTCCTAAGTTCATACGCTAAGCTTTGATTTGTTAACATTCGATTAGAACATACACATGAGTAACTTCAAAGATCTTAAGCTTTATTTATCCGTATTGTTATAAAGCGAAGCATACATAGCAAGCTATAAGCTATATTATTTTGCAAAGCGGAGTAAGGTCTTCTAGTTTGCATTCAGTTTATGGGATCTTTAGAAAACTTGGTCATCAGTCACAATAATTCTAAGCACGGCCTTGATTCTTACAACTCGTCCACGTGTCTCTTCAGCGTTTTGCCCCAATGTGTAACTCTACTGCCTACGAAGATTTCAAAATTTTCTAATATCTCCTCTTTCGTTAAAACTTTATCCTAAAAAAAGAATACGTGAACAATAGATTTTGAGTCAAAATTTTCACTTTGTCAATTACTAAAATTGAATTATATCGGTCGTGAACACCGTATGACAGCTATAAATCAAATTTTTATTTACTAATTTCTCTTTAAAATTGTTTATTATGCAAATATCGTCGCTATAATATCATGCAGTGGAAAATATCATTTTAAGAAGAACAATTTATGAACCAATTGTTGAAAAAGAAAGAGTTTAATACATATGGATACGTGGAAAGGAGCACTTTATACAATTTACAAAAACAGTCAAAAAAAGGATTGTTCTATTAAAGAACATAGCATTGTGATGCTAAAGTGTTGATTTTTGCGTGATAAAATAAATAATGGAATTACTGACATAAATTATGTTTGTAGATGTAGATCGTCCAGGTTAGTAGAATCCTGAGAAGGACTGTTGTAGTTGATGATGACTAACGTTTCGACAACCTTAGCGGTAGTCATCTTCAGAGTCAAATGAGTAGTAAACGTCAGGTTAGCCGTATTTGTTATCTGGTTCTTACGTCATTGTATTGTGTGTACAGGAAATGTATGGCTGTCAATTGTTTATTGCCATTGTGAATTAGTTTTTAGTTGTGATGTGTGATTTAGGTGTGATGTTTTTAGTTGTAATGTTTGGCTGTCAATTGTGTATTGTCATTGTGAATTAGTGTGAAGTGTAATGTTTTTAGTTGATCGTTTGTTTGTATTGTTGATAAAACGTTTGTAAGGCACCTGCATGTAATTGTTTTGATCTGTTCAAGCGGTTTTGTTCTAAGTTGGTATACCAACTTTCTAACGTAAGGTGTTTTCTATAGTCAGTGCTGTAAGTAATGCATTTTGCCAAGTCCCAGTCAATGTTGTGTTATGTCAGTTGGTGATGTTGGGCAATATGATGAGTTTTGCTTGTTTCTTTGTAGCTCGTTTGTAGCTGGTTTGTGTTCAGTAAGTCTTGTTTAAGTTCCTGCCAGTTTCCCAACATAGGAGGCGTGGTAGTCGGATCAGTTTATTTTGTAAACTGCACCTTGTCGATCGTTGGGTTGTTCTTTGTTCTTTATGTTTGTTAGTACTTGTCGTAACGTTGTGATTGTTTTATGTGTGACACGTATGTTGTATGCTCGTAAGATACGCGAGATAGTCTCAGACGTACCTTTGATGTAAGGTATCGTTGCTGTTGTCGTTGAGTTGTTCGTTTCGTTGTGTTCATTGTGTTTGTAAGTGTTGCGTTCAACGAAGTCAGAGTTAGAGCTTTTTTTGTCAAAAACACGTTTGAGATAATTGTTTTCGTTATGTGGAGCGTCCGGTGAATCACATATAATTTGTGCACTTCTTAATAATGTTCGGATTGTGGTGGCTTTGTTTGATGTAGGGTTGTAAGATGATTGGTCTAGTAGTCGGTAAGTGTGTGTTGGTTTTCGATAAACTGTGGTTCGTATGATTTTTGATTGTCATGTTTTACTAAACAGTCGAGAAAAGAAAGAGTACTGCTTTCTTCAACATCTTTGGTAAATTGTATTTGGCTGTTCTGTTTGTTGATGTGAGTGTTGAAGTCATCAATCTGGTCTGCATGTTGTGCTGTGATTGTGTCATCTACTTAGCGGAATCAAAAAGGTAGTACATGTTTGTAAGTTACGAGCGCCTATTCGTCTAAAGTTTGCATGACAATTTCAGCAACTACAACAACGGGTGAACCCAATGCTGTTCCGTGTAAGTGTGTGTTGTATGTCGAGGTGAGGCAGCGCTCCAGTAGCTAAATACTACGCTACCTGTCTTTTGTCGGTAGTAGAAGTACGTCCGTGGTGTTTGTAATGAGTGTTTTTGTACAAGTAAGTGCCAAGTCAAGTGGAGTACAGGTGAACAGTGATTTCACACCAAAAGAAACTAGCATATAGTTGTACACACAATGCGAGGATGTAACCTGACATTTTCTCCTCATTCGACTCTGAAAATGACTACGACTAAGGTTATCGAAACGTCAGTCCACATCAACTACATGCAACAGTCCTCCTCAGGACTCTACTAAACTGAACGATTTACATCAACAAACATGTAATGATACTCCAGGGCTCAAACCCTTTACTTCAAAATAAAGTATATCACCCCTTTCTATACAGCAATTTTTTTTCGACTAAGTTTTATTTTCTTCCTTTTTTGTTGCCGATAGACAACTATGACGTATACAATGGTTCATTAAGTTCAAATGGTCTTTGCAATGCAATGAGAAAACTACATGCTAAATTTTGTTCCATAAACAAAATAAACTTTTATCAAAGCTGGTAATATTATTGGATTCAAAAAATTATTACTTAAATTTGCGTATGAATTATAATTAATGTGAATTTAATATAGACGACGAGTTTTAATTCTGAATGAGTTCTAATTTTTTAGAATAAGAGTTTTTTATGCCAAAATTTAACAACATGTTTTGCAAAATAATTTCGCCCAAAAGACAGTTTTTGCCTGTAATAATCAACTTAAGACTATTTGAGTGTACTTCAAAGTTTAGTTATTGTAAGTATAAATTGATTTGAAAAATTAATGTAAAATAATAAAATTCATTTAAAAATTATCAACGATGTTGTTTGTCGTCTGCATTATTTGTAAGACTATTTCCTTCATAACTAATGTTTTAACTACAAAGAGATGATCGTCACATTAGCATAGCAAATGGTGGTAAGGACTTTGATAAAAAATAAAACAATTTAAGTGCAAACTTAATGTAACCAGACGCCTAGTTACAATAGTTGAGAAACCACACAGCGATATTCACTGCAATGTAATCAGGCGTGTTGATATACAGGGTGCCTCAGAGAAAAAAAGAATCTTCTTCTTATGAATTTTTTTGAAAAATGTAAGAAAACTTTTCTTAACAAATGCTTTGCAAGAAAATTTTTCTTAAGATCTCCCAAGACATATTTGGTTAAAAAAATACTTCTTGGATGACTTATACTTTAAGAAAAAAACAGTAAATTTTTTCTTATACAATTCTTTTCTTTTCTTACACTATTTCATTATAAACTTATATAATTCTTAAGTCATGCAGAAATTGTGGTTTTTTATTTTCTTAAAATAAGAATGATCAATAGGAAATTTACTTTCATGATGCATGCATTTATGTTTCTTTCTTTTTATTTGCTATAAGCGTGCTAATAGCAATATTTTGAGGCCTATCACATGATAAAACTTCTGCAGAGGTTAAAACAAAAGTTTGCACTTATTGTATGTACTTATTGTACTGCACAGTGCTATCTATAGTGACATTGACTGAAGAACATTTACATTTAGTTAGTAATGTATGTTTGACTGCGTAGAATTTTAAGTAATAAAATTTCTGGCAGCTTGTTGAACAGAAGCTTTCTTTTATTTATAACAATGTCCATTGTCGCGTGTTACTTCCCACATTCAGAAAATCAAAAAATACCATTCTTATTATAAGGAAACTGTTTGTTATGCAAGAAAAAATCTTATTTTAAGATACAAGCATGTCGTATTTTTTCTTACTATAAGAAAATAGATAGACAAAGTTCTTATTTTAAGAGAAACTTTAGAACTTTTTCTTACGAAGTTCTGTCAGTTTTTTTGCCTTCAAAAAAGTTTCTTAATTTAAGAAATGACTATTGTTGAATTATTTCTTATTTCAAGAAAATTGACTGTGAAAAATTTAATTTTAAGAATCTTTCGTTTTTATCTCAATGATTTCAATAATTTTGTAAAGTTCTATTAGATACTGTAAAAAATAAAGTTGTGAAACTTAAACTGGAAACTCCCCGAACAATGTTGCTAGATTTTACGAAAAATTCAACAAATTCGCAAATGTTCTTGCTTCAAGAAAAATTAAGAAAATTTTCCTTAAAATTCGTATGTTGCTTATTTTAATAACAACTATCTTATTTCAAGACATAATATCTTAAATTAAAAAGTTTATGTTTTATTAAAAAAATCATTTTTTTCTGTGCATAAATAATAATGTATTTGCTGAATTATTATGCACAATAATAACAACTAGAATTTACATAAGATTAATAAACTTGAGAGCTCTGCACCTCTGGAATTGCATTAGGTTTGTACAGTATTATTTAATTTAGTAAGTTAAAAGTTATGTCATACACTGAATCATATCTCGAATTTATCACACCAAAGCTTTTATAAAATTCAAAGTGACATTAACTGAGTTATAACAGCCACGAGAGCGTAATCATATTTTCCATAAATTGCAACACCATGTACATGTGGTTTAACTTCTACAGTTTAACTACAGTTTAACTTAATTAACCAGGCGGAAAAAAGTTTTTGTGACTAATTATCTTATGCACATTTCATTTTAAAGCATTCATAATTATTTTTGCAGCTTCTGTTTTCTAAGACACGTTGTACATTATGTCAAAATGTTTCATTTTGCGAGCTGTGGTTGACACTAAGGCAAGAACGATTCACGTAAATGGGCATAGAAGATGTCATTCCGTGCATGCCTTATGGTAATGATCTACAATCATGTTCTGCTCATGACCAAAGCTCAAGCATTGCGAGAATTTCATTAAATTTATTGAAAGCGTTATTCGCTCAGTCTGATAAAGACCTCTGTTGAGATGTCCATCGCTTTAAAATAACCAAGTTGCGGAACAACTGCGTATAGCGCAGTTGCGATAAAATAAGTGTTTTAGAAAACTAAACAGCTAGTTGAAGTAATTACACATTTTCTTAGTAAAATTAGAAATTGAGGAAATGATTTAGCAAATTGGAGCAATCATGACTTTAACTGTATTTGAGGGATTTATATTTGATGTGTTAACTTTTCACACGATTGATCATCAGTTTTGAATTAATGTTACATTATCGGGTTTTCGTCTGTCACACCACAGCGTTGGACAGCTTGCTACTAATTACAGATAGAGTAAACATTGCTTACTGCTGAAAAAAGCGCACTAAGAAAAACTAAACCACCCAATTTAGTCCGTTAGTCATTTTGCCACATTGTGTACGAGTGTAAGATTGACAAGAAGATGGGATAATTCGTTGCAAAGTTTGTTCTTCCCTTTTTCCCGAAACTGAACATCTCCTGTAATTTTGTTTATGGTAGTAATGTCAAGTAATGTCTAGTAGTTCAAAACTGATGATCAATCGTGTGAAAAGTTAACACATCAAATATAAATCCCTCAAATACCGTTAAAGTCATGATTGCTCTAAATTTGCTAAATCATTTCCTCAATTTCTAATTTTACTTATAAAATGTGTTTAAACAAGCTAACGTATTTGATTTCTTTTTAACGTATTTGATAACGTATTTGAATTTGGATAACAAGACTAAGACGAATAACTTCATGAACAATCTAATGTTCTGCAAAATTATATGATATGGAAATATTTTTTGAATAATGTGTCAGTAGTTATAGATCAAGCAATATTTGTCCAGAACAAAGTCAGCTACTATGTTGCCAAGCACTGAATCACGTCCAAAAAATAGAAATATACACTTTGTTTACATGAGCGTAAATAGCAAGGGCGAGAAAATCAAGGAATTATCTTTATTTTTTTCAGACAATTTTATGTTGACATCAACATAAGTTTCTTTTATCGGTACGTTCTCAGTGAGTTGCCCCCTTTTTATAAATCCTCCTTACACAGCAACGCCCCTGGTTTTTCTTCAATTTTACCATAATTTTAGCTGAAATAGTTCAACAGAAAAGGTAGAATGGTCAAAATGTAAGAACTCTTTTGAGCCTGAGTACATTATTAAAGCTCTATTATTGCAAACACTTTAAAGAAGAATGTTTGATGACGTGTATGATAATTTAATACATATAAGAGAACTAATTAAAAAAACGAATTTAACCGTGTGATGAAACATACATAACGGTAATTAACATAATTTCCTTAAAATTTGTGTGTCAAATTGTTCTGCAGTAATCTAATGGTTAATTTAGAATCAAAAAGTACTCACTTTATTTGAATCAGCCTTTTGTATCAGATGATCAGCTTCATTCTCGTGAATATTGTACCGTGATGGAAAATACCATTCCTTGATTTCATTCTATAAAAAATATATTAATGGAACGAAATGCTAAGGCTAAGAGAAACTCGTTCACGTAGCAGTGCTGTATAGGTTGAAAGTGGAAACAATTTTAAGTACACTACACCCTGGAATCGTTAACTATTTATCTTTCATTTTAACAGAAATGATATTTAAAACTATTTTACTATTTTTAAACAACAGTTATCCACGTACATCAAAAACTTACTTTTCTCTGCATAATTTTTTTACAGTTTTACAATGCATTGATCGCTAAATTTATTTATTCATTTGGTTCTGCAAGCCAGCAAATTTTGTCCTGCTATGTCAATTTTTTGTGTTCAATCAATGTAAAAATAGATTTTTAAAAAAGTTAATAAAGTCAATGATATGAAATTGATATAGCAGGACGAAAACTTGCGGGTGTGCTACGCTACTGTAAATATATAATTGTCTTGAAATATATAATTGTGTATTCAAAATATATTCACATTCAGCACTGCACGATTTATTTGTTTGAGTGAGCAGAGCTGCGTTTATTTATATTTACCCCCTTAAAATCAGTTTCCTTCTTTTGGCCCTACGTAGATGGTATACGAAGTCAAAAAAAAGAAAATTTTTCTAAAATAATTATAGTTATTGACACACGATACAACTTTAACAAAAAAATACCATTTCGATGCAAAATGCAGTCGTGCAACGGTGACACAAGTAAGTTGAACTTCGTATTACATGAGTGGCAAGTAAGCATTCGCCTTTTATATTTAAAAAAAATTTTGTTTAAAAGTAATTCCTCGAGAAAATTTTTTTCTTTGCATTGCTTACATCAACAATTTTTTTCTCAGTTTAGAAATAATCATCGCATTGATTTCAGGAGAAATTTAAACACAGAATGAGGACTATACCAAAGAGTCACTCGTGTCGCAACCTTTGATGTTTTTCCTCACGCATGATATTCCGCGAATATCCGGTACCATTGCTCCACAAAATATCTAAAGCTTTTTACCGACGTCATCTTTTATACTGAAATATTTTCGATTTTATTACGAAGAAATGACGTCATATTATTGCAGCGGTTTGAAACCAGAGCCCTCTATTAGGAGAGTTGGAACAACGGGTCTGCGGGAGCGCGGAGCCGCAATTTTCGTTCCTACTTGCAAGTTAAACTTATAATAAAACTAGGTGAAATTGGCTAAATGAGCAAAAGAGTGAAGCAATTTCGCACTGTTTAATGGGAATTTTAAATATATCGGAAACCACAATTTAAGCTTTTGCCATTTTTGTGAATAAATACTGCACGCCAAACTCATTTTTATGGATTTGAGCTACATTCGCAATCGATTAGTTCGTTCTTTGAAACTAATCGTGACCCATTGCTAAGCGTTTTTTCGTATGTGAACATATATTCTGCCAGTTTTTAACAACAGCACTAAGATATTTGTTTTACTTCTTATTATTTATCAGCGATAAAGAAAAACACTTTGGTTGTATATTTTTGGCCAGGAAAACAGTTTGGTTGTATATTTTTGGCCAGGAGGTATAAGGTAAGTCAAAATAAATCTCTGCAGCTCATTTTTGCTATATTCTTTAACTGGTAAAAATATAATCTTTAGAATTCATCACTAATAATCTTATTCTAAAACTAAAAAGTATTTTGAATTTACAGTTGAGCTACTTCAATTTATTTTGACTTAAAAATGCCTGCCGTTGAATCAGTGTTATCCATACTCCATAGTTGGACAAAGTTTTTTTTTGAAGAACAGTAGTCATAAAATTTTGCTTAGTACATATTTTTTGCAATGTAATCCAGGCATGAAAATTTAATTCAGACAGATTACAAAGGTGTTTTGCTGGAAAATTATGAACTTAAAATATTTATTAGATACAGTAGCTTTTCAATATTCTATTAATCTAATGTGAAGTTGTTGATTTCTTTATTCCTTGTGAAACTGTGATTATATAGTTAAAGTTGAATTCTAATGCACAATGGTATGGGCTTCTATTTGGTGAGGCATTTTGTTGAAAAGGTAAATATTGTTTGTGCATTAGAAAACACTTCTGTTGTTGAAGAGCCTTCTGTCTTGTTTGATACAAATGTTGCTCTTTGTACAGACTTTGATGTTGCATATGACTTATGAGTCTGATCCAATTTTTAATCTAGCTTAAATAATTAATAAGTTGAGTAATGAAAAACTTATGCATGTTTTTTCAAATTATAAAGATCAAAGACCACACCAAATCATTGATTATTTAAAGACCAGACCAAATCATTGATGAGCCAATTGAACATGCTCAGGTTTAAAGTACAGACAGCAATATATATTTTATTCCAAGTAATGTATTTTACCCAGCTGTTTCAGTAAATATTTTATTTTTAATTACCTATACTGTACTTTCAAATTATGACCTAAACGTACAAAATACAAAATTCAAAACTATATTATTTTAGTATATTGGATTAGTCATAATTGTTTGTTGAAGTGGTTAAGAGCTTGTAAATTAGAGTCATATTTCAGAACATTATGATAATTTATAATCTTTCTATAATACCTTCATTTTAAGCACAGGCTTTTAATGTAGAATACTATTGTTTCTTTAGCATTAGGGCAAACTTTTCCAATGATTTTTCACTCAAAGACAATCTTCGTAAATAAACCTTTAGTTACGAGCAGTTTGACACAATGGTCACTACACGCAATCCAATCTATCGTAAAGCAATTTCTTTCTTTTTTCCTTATTCTATGATTCTGGTGATATGTAGTTACATGAATTAGCTGTCAAATGATAAATTATTAAAGCTATATCCACAGAAAATCAAAATAATACAAACAAACTTGTTATAATTGCCATGCAAACACTAGTTCAAATTTCAAAATTAGGAACGAGAATGGCGGAAATTGATCATGTGACCGATATTGCCCAATCAACGTTTGCAAATCAGAGAACAATACATGTCCCAACTCTCCAAAAAGAGGGTTCTGTATGAAACAAGTAAAAAACCCTAAGCACCTTTCTGGAATAATGGCGGCCGTGAGGGTGCAGTGTACATTTGGGTGACTTTTCTGTATATAATTATTGTTCAAAGATTTCACACAACATCAATTTTAGCTGTATACGTATTGCATACATTGACTCAAATATTTGCAAGAATGGCCACACCATTGTATAAAAGACATCTGAGGAATACTTTAATATATGCAGGCAATTACAGTGGACAACTTTGAACTTCAAGAAGAAAGTTTCATGGCAACATTATGTGTGACAAACAAAGTTACAAATAATGATGTATAAAGAATGTTATGCTAAGAATAACGTAAATTTTTCACCTTTTCCAACACTCCACTTTTATCCAAATCTCTGCTGTTAAATTCTCTCTTGGCATTTTCATCAGACTTTTTGTCTGTTAAAGAAACACTGTTTGTGAGATGCAGTTGAATTGTTACATTAATTTAAAGTTATTAAATATTAAGTAGATCATATACCGGGTGCATCGAAAAAATCTGAACTGCTTGGAAAACATGGATAAACTCATGCAGCGCGCAATATTTGCCAAAACTTTTGATAGAAATAGTTAGACTTCAAATTATTTATCTGACAGTAAAATTGTTGCAAATAATAAAAGTTTTTAAGCTAAAAATATGTTACCGCGAACAACTTTAAAAAGTCTTGCGCATGAAAATAAAACGGCTAAAAAGCAATTGGTACATGTATAGGGATAATTATGGCACATGTTGTTTAAAATTTGCTAATGCGTACACAAACAGTTTGCTTTCAAACAACAGGCTATTTTTGGATTTTTCGTTTTTAAACGCCATTTTGTTATATAATATCATCAATTATTCACAAATGTTAGTTTACATTGAAGCAAAAACTATTGATATTTGATTAAGGTTTTAAAAAATGGCAACTAAAAAGGAAAATTCTAAAACAATCAGCAATTTGGGTGCCTAGCATTCATGGACAGTTTGGCCAAATTTCCTGAAACTTTTCAAGCTTAAACAACATGTGTTATTTTTAACTCTATGAGTTCCAATATAGCTTTGTTGCTAATTTTCTTGAGCGCTTGCTCGATAACACAATTACCACTATCACAATGGTTAGCTAATATTGGATGAAAATTTATTTCTGAACGAGTCATTGGAAGTCCAATTAAATACTTCACTAAATTTTTTGTAGATCTTGCGCGCTGATCACTTCAACCACATTTTTCTAATTATTCATGTTTTTTATACACCCTGAAAAACATATCACACATGCATAGTATGGTGGCTTCTCTTGAGAACTGTTTGGTTATCTTAATTTTTACTGAAATTTAAAATCTCTGTTAGACCAGATTGTCAGATAAAATGTGTTGAAACACATCAATGCTTGACATATTCTACCGTGCGCAAAACAGGTCTTTTAATTAAACGCTAGTTTGTTTCGAGAAAATAATCCGACACAAGTCCAAAAATCTATAACAATGTATTAAACTGTTAAAAAATATGTTTAAATTTCAGAGGCTGGTTGTATGAAAGGTGTTTATAAATGCTATATATAACAAACGTTTAAATTGCTATTCATCCACCGGTTCAATTTCTATAGTACCTACTGTGTAAAGTTTATCGGTCTAATGAGACTGTTTTGTTCATTAATCGGTGGGTAAATAGTGGCGGATAATCCAGTAATTTTTTCTATGACTTAGCTATACATATTATTTGGAATTCATTTCTATGCTCTCCTTAGTCCTTTGAGTTAATAGACAGGCTCATAGAATTTATGGATATAGAAATACGTGAAATAAGTGAAATAGCTATCTATAATGAAATACGAATGCTATCGATTAGTTGAGAAACTACTGTTTACAACACGTCTTCTTAAAAGACTTGTCTACCGATAGTAAAAAAGTAAACAACTTCATCTGCATCTTGTTTGAATCATATTTTGTATACTCAAGATGTCATGTCTTTTTGAAACATTTTCAAAACTGTTTTTCGAAACTTTTCAAGATTAGCTCGTTTCTGCGAGCTATGCTCGAGTTATTACTCATAACGCTATGATTTTTAGCATAAAAATTTTGAAAAGAACTGCATGGTTGCAAACATAAACAAATTTACTGCTGATAAAATTAATTTTTTTGAGCTTTCCGACTTTGATTAAATGAAAAAATCCTGTTTTTTCTTGTATCCTCCGGTTAGCTAATTAAATCTGGGCTTATTCAGTGAATAGATAAACGCCACGCTAAATGGCGTTTATGAAACAAATTTTAAACAATCGTTACGCTGGATAAGAAACCTAAACAATTTGATTTTGACACAAAGAAGCTGTCCTTTGACTGGGAAACAAACGCTTTTTACAAAAATAACTTTTGCGGCGTGAATACATAACTACAGAAAATTGAATAAAAACAAGGTTTTGCATATAAAAAACCAATACAAGTATACCAACATTATTTATGCATGTGTATAAGTTTGTATTTCTTGTATTCATATCTCTAAGTAAAACAAGTGAAAGTACGAATTTTCATTATGACTATGAAAAAATTCACGCCGAATTACGCTAAGGCTGTAGGGTTTTTTTTTTCAAAGAAATAAAAAATGTTTAGCCTTGGTTAAATATATCTTTAAGATTTACTTAGTTCCTAATATATATCTTTAAGAATTGCTTAGTTCCTATTATTCCTATATTAAAGAAATACTTTAGCCATGTACGTTTTTGCGTGAAAACACTAGGGTGAAGCGGCTTCAATATTACAGGGAAGAGTAGCATCTCAGTGATATTCATTTCAATGGGTTACATAAGCAAATGATTAATGGAAATTATTCACGAAAAAGCCAATTAATGTCGTTAACTGGCAAATTATCGTAATAGACAAATTCCATTATTACGTCACATAGCGAGCGTTGCATTTTGGTCTTATTAGTCACGCACATGAAGTTCTAGTGAGAACTCTTGAACGGGTCTTCAGGAGACCTCTAGCTCAGAAAGTCACAACAAATCTACGCTAGACGATGTATCGTCAATGAAACGAAAAAGGGGTGCTGATGTATATACATGTTGTGTACCTTTCCATCTATATACATGTTGTGCACCATGTTTCTTGTGTACCAAGACCAAAATGCAGCGCACATTTCGCGCTATATGACGTAATAATGCAAGTTGTCTATTGACAGTATGTGTCTCTTGCTGTGTAACGATTTTAATCGTTATGAAAGCACTGTCAAAACATTATCATATGTTTGTTGTGTACAACACGGTGTGACGCATATCCTGTTTTTTTGTACAACTTGTACGCAAGGCCATTGCCAAACACTATCCAAAGCCCTATCACTAAAGCACAATCACTTGTAATTATATTGTTTCTAGTGGTAATAATACCCCCAATAAATTCTTCATAAGATATCTTCCCATCCTCGTTCTTATCCATTGTTTCCACTATTTCTTCCACAAATACGTCATGCATTCGAGGGAAAAGATCCAGATGTTGGAACGCCACAAATTCCCCAACGCTTAGTTTGCCATCATTATTTTCATCCGCAGCATTGAATCTTGCTTCGTACCTCTTGATTCGTTGTTTTATTTCATTATCTGTTAAAACGTTATAACGATGCATGGAATGGATATCAGATAATTGGTTATTTTAGCAAAAAATAAATTCGAATGGAGCTTTTTTGACACCAAACAAGGACAGAAATAATAGATGCTTCAATGATACTGTTGTTGTAGGAAATAATCTAATAACACCATAAGACTCTCCTAAGTCAAATTTATTGGAAATTGCTCTTTCTGAAGTGGGTACATGGTGGGGGTGCAAAATGTTCTAAGAATATAGTACCCTCTTAAAGAAATTCTCATTTTCTCAATGCCAGTCAAATAGGTGATATTTGAGTGATTCTTGTCACTAACTTTGCCAAAAAAGTGTAGATATAATCACAACAGCTCTTAGTGAATGAACTAATTCAGTGGATGAGAAAATACTGGACAAGTTGTAAAACTGTGCGTCCAAAGCCATGAATCAACTTCGAATATCGTGGAATGGTATAAACATTGTCAAAAAAGACTACACTCAAAGCAAAATTGGCCTGGAAGCGGGTTGCAGCCCAAATGTCTAAGTGAGATGTTAAATCTATAATTCAGAACAAAAGTGTTACCACTGCTTAAGAGAAATTCTTACCTGATAACCGAAAAACCTTCATACATTAAAGAATAATGTATAAATTGGCTACTAACCGTGTGCTGATCCAGGAAAATTCAGTGCTTTATAACTTTCCCAGCTTATTAAATCGTTTTCATCGACAATTGTCGCTATGTTTTTATCCCAATATTCTTTTACGACGTCAGTGGGTTCTTTCAGGGAAATATATTTCATCCATGCCGCCAATTCGGTCTTGGATATATTTCTATTGCCATCCGTATCGATTTTGTTGACAAGCTTACTAAACAGTTATGAGTATATTCTCAGTAAAGTAAATGTTTGAACCCGGGAGTATCGTTACATGTTTGTAAATGTCGATCGTCCAGGTTGGTATAGTCCTGAGAAGGACTGTTTTTGTTATTGTTGATTGACGTTTCAACAACAACAAAAACAGTCCTTCTCAGGACTATACCAACCTGGACGATCGACATTTACAAACATGTAATATATTCTCAACTATGAAATATCAAATAATCAATAGCCAATCTTTCTGTCGTTTACCCCTTCAATGCAAATATTATTGTCTGGAAAAATGAAAAAATCAATTAATTTTCTGAAATAATAGCAATAATTTTGAATAAAAATTTGCACTGTAGAAATAAAGTTCGAGCTGGATTGCTACAGGAAATAAACAAACAATTAGCAATTATTGTCTCAATACTTCTTGATATGATGCAAAAGCCAAATTGAGTAATTGCTGTATTATTCACATCAAATAACTAAAATATCATTTCAACATATGATGGCTTTTAATGATGCCGACATTTGTAGAAACTATTATTTCCAAATAAAACGTCATACTTACAAAATATCTAGAATTATTTGTAAATATTGCGACGTAATACATAATTGCAGATACCGATTACAAATCAATCAAAAACAAAATTGTAGTGAATAATAATCAACCTTAGCATTACAAGAGCACCCAGAAAATATGTTGTCACATAAGACTCATTTTATGTCACACAAGAGCACCCAGAAAATATGTTGTCACATAGGACTCATAGTTAGACAAAAACAAAACCAAACATTGTTCAAGATCTTCAGCAAAATTTTTACTAGTTGAAATGCCTTTATAAGATAATTCGAGAATATAAATAATATCCCAGAATGAGAACCAGAATTTAGTTTGACGTCCCTAGATCTTCCTAATTTCTGTCAAAATTCATTCAGTTTTATTTCACTAACCATTGCCAGGTTCATAAAGGTCAAATGTGAGTTGAGTTTCATATAATAACTGCTGAGCAAAAACACACTTATAGCTCACCTTAAACGCAATTTTCTGGCAGCGTCGTCCAGTTCATCAAATTCTTTCTGTGCGTCATGACTAAGAAATGAATGCTGATCATTTTCAGAATTGTGTTTTCCATTCAAGTGTCTATCTTCCCGACGTTCGGGCATCGTATGCGCAAAGCAGACAGTCAAACATATTGCTAAAAGCAGAAAGATATTTGCGTAATCCATTATAACTTATTGAAATTATACGCGCTACCCTTTTAAGCAAAATGAGTTGTCGCCTGACTTAACTACAAATTACAGTACGACAACAACTACAGGCTTTAAGTTAGCTATTTGCCATCAATGTGGCCTGGCGCTATTGGTTGATTTGAATGGATTGACCCTAACCGAACTCGCTATTGGCTAACACAACACATGAATGTAATCATTGTGTTTTTAGGAAAGACAAATGTGGATGGAATTATTGATACTTTCGACACTTGCATTTAATTTCCTAGCAAACAATCACTTAAAATGTAAACCTACACAAACTTTCAATTTGTGCTTGTTATAATTTTTGCTTAACTTTTAAACAAAATTGAAATTTAAATGCTTTTGTGGTTTTAAGGGTTTTCCCTGAGAATTTGCAGACATTCAAAGCGCAACACCTGATTGCAAAAATTCAATCCATATAAACACGCGAAATACTTTTTTTAATTGATAGCATTACAATAGGGTTGAACCAAGTTCCTTGCTATTTCTTTTACGCAAACTAACAGACATGTAAATTTTCGATCATAATTTGCGTTGCTTCGCGTCAATGTGCACAACGTGGCATTTTCGACGTTCTGCTGAGGCGCTTTTTGACATGGCTGAAATCTGATACGCAGTCGGTGAATTTTTTTATAACATTGGCATCGCCATGATTTCTTCAAAAATAAAAAAATATGTGTTTGCCTCTTAAATAGAGTATGAATTTAATTAGTACTAGCGGTGCACTGCTGCATTCTGTAGTTGGGAGATATTTTCATTACAAAGTATAGCTTGATGTTCTATCCATCTTGCGAAGGATTTTCATCGTTTGACCTTTCACCTGCCATGCAGGCGTAGCACAACGTCAACAACGGTGCATTATGTTGTCCAAAGTAAAAATTATGGTGATGAGCTTTCTTCATTATAATCATAAAAATTGCCTTTACCAAATGGAGTTGCAATAGTAGTCTGAGATTAACTGAATCTGGTTGTTCGTAACAATGAAAGCTCGTGCGTTCAATATGATAGCCTTCATGTTCTGCTATTACGTTACAGTGAATGGTATTCCTCGTATTCGACAAAATGATTACTATGTTGATGGTATTCATAATGTAGACTACGATCGCCAGTTGTTTTTGAATAAGGATGAACAAAAGGAATTCCAGCAGTTAACGCCAGCGGAGAGAAGACGGCGTCTAAGGTTAAGTCATAAAAAGTATTGGCTTTTAATTAAAACAACAACTTTTCATTTTATATATCTCGTATAAACATGTCTAATTCTTGATAAAGCACTAAATAATTTATCTACTAACTACTAACTTTTTCAAATTTAGTACTAATGCCTAGAATCCATAAAATATAAACGGTAGAAATATTTTTTATCACAGAAGCAGATTAATCTAAATCTTTACAATTAAGACCATTGGGGCCACACACTTAACGTTAGACTTTAGGTTTTGCAACAAAATGGTTTCACTTACAGCGTGACATTGGGACACTTGTAGCATATGAAATAAAAAATTCTAGACCAACTGAAGTGGCTATTCGTATGGCACTCATACTTTTACATATAATAGACCTTAGCTGCTATGCGTGAATCATGTAGATAGATATTAGAATTGTCGTAGGCTATTAAATAATTAGTATGCTTATGATTTATATATAATAGCAAGTACTCATATTGCATTAAATACCAGACTTACTCCACCCTCCAGATCTTAAGCCTGTTTTCCACTAACCACGTATCGTAACGTATTGTAGCCAAGCGTAACATGGCGCATGCGTGCTTACGAATTTGATGGTCGATAGGTACAAGCACGCATGCACCATGTTACATTTTGCTACAATACGTTACGATACGTGGCTAGTGGAAAACAGGCTTTATAGAACTCAATAAGATAGTATCTCAGAGCATGCGCATAAATTCGTACGAATATCAATTCTGTACGAAATTATATATAGAAGTACGGGTGCCGTACGAATAGCCACTTCGATAAATATAATGCCAACTTCAATTCCATGCTCTGGTATTATCACTACTCCTAATCTTAACTCGTGACCCACAACAGTCAGAAATTCCCCATTACTACTTTCATTATTTCTTATATTCACTTTACACACAAGCCTATAGACTATTACATTTTACATTTAAATTAAAACTGCTATGAAATTTATAAATTTTAAAAAATGCAAAGGCTGCATATGATTTTGCTTTTTGTTTTTTTAGTGAAATTGTTGACAAGATTGATACAGATGGAAACAATAATATCACAAAGGAGGAGCTTACATCCTGGATAGAGTACATTCAACTGAAACATTTGCGAGATGAAGTGAATAATAGATGGACTCAAATTGATATTGATGGTGATGATTTGATAACTTGGGATGAGTTTAAGCTTAGAAACTATGGTCATACTATGGGTGAGTTAAACTTAAACCAATAATCACATTGTGTAAAATTTTGGAATTTAGAGAATGTAAACTGATTTGAAAACGGAAACCAACTTTTCGATTATGACAAGCGGATAGTTAAAAATTCTTAATTGTTATCGCAGCGAGCAAGCATTAAGCAAACGAGTAAGACAGCAAATCTATAAAGCTTAGAGCTGGAAAAATTTAAGATTTAGCTTACAAAAAGCCTTTTGAGTGAAAGTATAGACTCAAAATGCAATGTGTTTTTCATATAATACTTTCGAGAACCACTAAATATTTTAATAAAATACATGACAACGGTAACTTCGTTTCTCATGATGATGACAATACCAGGCTAGTTCGGCAGTAGTGAGAGATCGCCTAGTATTTGCATGCATTTTTCAAATTTTGGTTCATATGAAAGGCGGGCTAGCCCGTCTTGCCGCGATTTCAACATAAATTAACAGGTTTATGTAAAAGGGGCAGGCTAGCCCGGCATTAAGAGCCAAATATCGTACTAGTGCGCATGCTCATGAAGGACAGTTCCATGCAAAGTCTGAGCAAGCCAAGGAATAACTTTGGTGGCCACAGATCAATGCAAAACCTCATTGAGTTTCTTTTAGCTTATAAAAGTAACATGAAATATCGGGATTTGGACAGTTATGCTGCGCACATACTTAATTATTTTTGTATTTTTCGGGCCAGCCCGCCTCATGCGAATCAAATAATAAACTAGCCGGGCTAAGCCAGAGCCCTCTATTTGGAGAGATTGGACATCTATTGTTCTCTAGTATACACATGTTGATTGGCCAAATATGGTCACATGGCAAAAAGCAGCAATTTTCGTTCCTTGATTTGACTCAAAGCTAGTACTTACAATGTAATTTCACATCAGACAATGCAAGTGTTGAAAGATTTTCAGGTAAATAAGGTGTTTTGTTACGCTTTTGGGTGCAATAACCGCTCCTCCGACGGTTTCAAAATGTTTTGCATACGATCAGGATCAAGAAACTTGGCAAGAAGAAACAATGGCTATGTGTGATCAAGAGTGAAAATTTCAACCCAAAACCAGCAAGGCTTTGCGAAGTAAAACACGCATATATAATCTCTATACAATTTCCCAACAAATTTAGTATTCATTAAATGTATCAAAGAGCTTGTACAACAGGACGATAACCTAAAGATAACAATTTTAGCAACAAACACAAATCTTCAGCTGCAGAACTGCTTTGTTTTAGAGAGACAGCACAAACTTTTTTTGACAAGCTGCTTTACACAAGATGCATTGGACAATCTTTTTTCAACCATTAGATTGAAAAATCCAACACCAACAACCCTTGATTTCAAAAATTCATTACAAATAATTACAGTTTACAATGCATTTCTGACAAATTAACTTCTTAACTTCTTCTAATGGCAATGATGAAGGTACACAATGTCTTTCTTTCTAAGATGTAACATTATTTACATTCAAGGATGTCATTGAAGAAGATATGTCATTTTAATTGATCAGGACGACTTAAATCTTTATTTATCTGCTTCAGAATAATCAGGATTAAATAATCTTGGAGGATATGCAGTGCATCAATATATGAAGCTAAATAATCATTGCAATGGTTGCGTGTAAGCCTTGTCAACATATTGTCCAGAGCCAGAATTACACGGCTACTGTGATTCAAAACAAAGCTTGGTTCAGCTCCGTGACTACACTGGATCCTCCCTGGTATACACATCAGATGAATTAAGAAATTTATTTTGCACAGCCGAAAGCTTAACTGTTGCCAACGAAGAGCATAAAATGAAAAAGCATAGCATCCTTGGAGCAATTGTTGATAGCAGTAAAGCTCATGGGAAAAGCAATTTCCAGATTGCCACCAAGGAAATAACGAAGATCCTACACACCTACTTTAAAGTGAAAATTTTTGCTCTTCTTCGAAAGAAAAAAACAAGAAGGTGAAATTAAGCTCTGGCATTGGCACAGGGTCACTGTCAGTTACAATGCACGAACTTGTAAGCCAGAAATAAAAGTAGATATCAACGTGGTTCACAAAAACAGGTACAATCTTGAGAAAATTCCGAAAAATGGTATTCTATCCGAATATATGCATAATTTGATCCCTAAACTCCGCAAAAAATCTTTAACATCGAAATCTTTAACAAAAATCTTTAAATATTTGACATGTAATACAATCTTATACAGCGTTTATTAAGATAAAGAACGAAAATAGCGGCTCTGCGCTCGCCCCAGACCCTATGTCCTAACTCTCCCAATAGAGGACTCAAGGCAAAGCGAGTCAGCACGTAAACGAGTTTAGCACGGCTCATATGAATAGGCCCTAAATAAAGTCGAATGAATCAAAATGCTCAAATTATTTGAAGTTACCGCTGTTATGCTTTTGTTAAAAAAACGGACGTGACTGGCGAGTTAAAGCTTATAGCGTTTTAATTTCGGCGTCTCCTGGCCAGACAGTGTTCATGCTAAGAGAAAATATTTTTGACATATGAGTGTATAATAATAATTGATGACTCAACTGGTTAGTTTTTGGGTAGTTAATGTTTGAGTTTGGTGTTTACCATGGCTTACAGTAAAGGTCAAAAGACTGAAAACACATGGGCAGTCGCTTTAGTCGCGCGACCAATGCGAATGCGGTTGTTGCCATGCCTCGTTCGTTTTAACTGTGGTTCACAGTGTCGGATATTCCTTTGCTTTTTGTGCATAGAATAGAACACTTTAAAATACTTGAAGATTCCTTCACGATCACAACACATACCAATTTTGCAGTATTTTACAGTGCAAATTTGCCACGTCCTATTTTTCTGTAATTTGATTCCTTATATTACTGTTTCTGTGGGGTAATGTACGTGTTTGGTTTCTGCTGTGATTAATATTTTTCATGCTTTTATAGCTGTGTCTGTCTGTGTGTTGCTTTTTTTGTGGTTTACAATTATGAAGCGGGTTAAGTTGTGCATTATTATTACTGTTGTACATTTCCGATTATATGAACTACTGAGTAAAATATTTTAGTTCAAGTAAGAATAAAATTGTGCCCATAGGGACAAGACTAGTTCAGTAATTGATCTAGTCGAGTTATGCAAAATGCTTGTCCATGCTTAAATTAATCCTCAGCTGCTTTTAATCCATCATAACAAGTACAATCTAGAATCATAGAATCTCATTTTAAGACACCTTTAATTAACAATACACAGTATATTAAACTCAATAGTTCCATATACTTAAGTTTCTCACGGAAACATAATCAGATCCTTACTTAAAGAATGAGTATCATGGTAAGGCTTTGCGCGCTTAGCCATGCACAGGCAGCCATTCCCACCCTCCCCTTACCTCTAAAATGGCGCCACATTAGGTTGGTTTGTGGCAGTTTGAACTAGAGCCTGTTGTTCATGATCAGGTTATTGAACAGTTGATTTGTAATAGTTTAAATCGTCTTCATCTTCTTAATGGGACACAGTCAAGTCTGGATCTTATTTAACTTCTGGCATTTTGTGCAATATTGTAGTTAATTGATTATGCAACTCTGTATACTATAGCATAATTTTATTAACAAATGTAAATACAAGCGCGCAAAGCATTACCGCGACACTCATTCTTTAATACCTTGCAAACGTAATGATCAAGCATTAACAGTATAGCAAATTGTTCTTTGAAGCTTGCTTAGCTAAAATTATCAAAAAACCCAATAAATCTGTTGAGATTTTGGTTATTGTCAGCAGCATTATTAATTTCACACATGTAACATGTTCACAGGTTTTGAAATACAAGCATTTGAAATTTGATTGAACAGCTTCTCTTCTTTTTCTACTTTCGAATTAAAATTACAGTCTGCTAAAATACTCTTTGCTATTAAAACAAAACACAAATCCTTTTTTGTTTTTATATGGCAAACGAAACTTAAAATCAAGCATTCAAAATTTTTCGACAGTTAAATTTTTCTAAAGAAGTAAGGGCCAAACATAACTAAAAGGCATTTTGCTAGAGTTGTTTGTTTTATATGATGACAAATAGTTCAAAGTTAAAAACTAAGACGTTTTTGTTCCAAAGCAGCCACTATTATGCGAAAGATGCTTACGAACATCATAAAATATATAAAAAAGCAAATAAAATTTCAAACAAACATCAGTTTTGGAAATTTATTTTTACCCAAACCATTATTATTAATTCGACGTACAAGTTCAGAAAAAAATACAATTTTTATTACGAACTTACACGAGATTTGGTTATAAAAGATAAATTAAAAAATACCCATCTCATGTTAGATAAAATTATGCATCAGCAAAGGAAATCCTCCCAAAGCGTTTCATTTTATATGTATCTAATAAATTTTTTGCATTTCATAACTTCAGTTAATTTAGCTTTGTGAAAAACATACATTCATTTTACCTTATTTCGAACAACATTTTTTACAACAACTAATGGTTTCTACAAATACGTTTACATAAAAATGCCGAAATATTCCAATGAGAGACTCATATAAATCATTAGACATATCAAGTTGAATTCTTTCGAAATAAACTAGTACTTTATGCAATGTTTCCAATGTGTATAAAATGAACGATGTCATTATTTTTCACCATTTCCACCGCTGATATTTTCCATTTCAAACTACGTTTTCAATAGAAACCGTCATAATTGACTGAATAAAAATTAAGTCCCATCACCTTTAATGCCACAATACTTTTCTACGTTTATTTTTTGAACAAAATCAGAAAAAGACTTCGGTAAAAAAATGTTTCTTTAATAAATCTAGCGTAATATGTAGCTTTGAGCGTGTGATACACGTAAATTGACCTCCAGACACGCGTGTGGAGGTCATTTAGCTTGAAAAAATTATCAGGCTTTTCTATCACAGGTAGCCTTCCATCTATTATAGTTCAATGGTGGGAACAAGTCAAGCGCTTGTTAATGTCAAAATTTATATTTCGGAGTTGTATTCTGATTGAAAAGCTCTCATAGAACGCAATGTCATTCGGATTATGATTATATTCCCGACTGTGTGATCGAAGATCAAACAAGGAACATAAATGTCCAGGAATACACATACAAGATTAGAGATATTCAATGAAGAGCAGAGAGAATTCGTCAAGAAAAGCGAAGATAGTAATTTACACAAGAATAATATTAACTTGGCCAACTGATTTTGTAAAAATATTGAATAAAGTTATCAAGAGTTCTAAGATCTACTGACAGTTAATACCATCACTGTTCCGCCTGTAGTGTGATCAGTCTTGAATTTTAAGATAATTATCTATGAAGGGTTTTTATTTGCATTCTTTTCAAATGCAAGACTGCAATAAAGCAGCTGTAACTTTACTTCATCATAGACTGCCCAGAAATCTGTTTAGGTTTTTTATCCAATCAACTTATAGAGTAAATATATTGTATGATATATGTATTTTTAGGCATTTGAAAAATGCGAATTTTCTTAGGGTTTGTAGCAAATATTTTTCAAAACCTCTGCTAGTGACACTTATCTACACATTCGTCATATTTTTGAATGCTTAAACGCAATGCAGATTGGCTGAATTTTGGTGAAAATAATCAAAACGAAATATGTAACCAATCTGAATGTATGAGAAAACAATTTTCTTTAGTCGTCTGCACTTATTAACATATCACATTTGGTTGATTTGTCATGTTATCTTTGTAGACCTTACAGACGAACAAAATCAGTCATATGGCAAATTTTCTATGACAAATGCATTTCTTCAAAAGCTGACATGTGTTTGTTAGTTTCGACAGAAAGAATTGAGTTGCTATATCAGTAAAAACTTATAATGTTCTCTTTGCTATATCTGCAAACAAAATATCATTTTACTTTTTTATTTCCTGCTTAGCTCACAAACTGGTTTTGTTGTATAAAGCAGCATTTTTAGTTGACCCATCATGGTTTTTTGCAAGCTATTTGTGCTTTTGTCCTTTTACAAGAAAATTAAAAGATATTGTTAATTATCACTGTATTTGGATTAAGTTTCCCACTCATGGTAATACATAATTATGAATATATAGCTCAAGTGTGTTATTTTTAAAGATTTGAAAATGTTTGAAGATTTATAAATGTTTTGATTTTAAACTCCAAAAGGATGTGATGATAGAATATTGTAACTGTTCAAATATTTAATTTTGCTTCATACGTGTCATGCACATGTATTCATGTATATGTGGTTGTATTATTATTTCATAGATTTATTGTGAATTTGAAACTTTTGAGGTCAGTTATGCTAATACTGATATTTCTCCTTTAACATAATGTCATTCATTATCATGTGTACAGTCATTTGACTCCGAAGATGACTACCGCTAAGGTTGTCGAAACGTCAGTCAACAACAACAAAAACAGTCCTTCTCAGGACTATACCAACCTAGATGATCTACATTTACAAACATGTAACGATACTCCAGGTTCAAACCATTTACTTTATTAAATTGTCATTTATAAAGATAATTAGCTTTGTGCTACTTTCAATATGGGATTTCAGTGGCGAAAGTATGGGCAATTCACACAAAGGTCTTGTCTTGGCTAGGAATTTTTTAACTCTTTATGATTCTCTGTGCTGTTTTAGATCACGATAACCGAGATGTGGATGATAACTATCGCAGAAAACGAGAAATAAACAAAAAAAAGTGGCATGCCGCCGACTTAAGCAACGACAATATGTTAACAAGGGAAGAATACTCGGCATATCTTCATCCTGGAGAATATAGGAGAATGCATCATGTTGCTGCAGAAGAAATTTTGAAACGAATTGATAAGGATGATGATGGCTACGTTTCACTTGAGGAGTACATCGGTCAGTAAGAACATATGATATTGAAGAGTGCTGCAATAGTTTTGACTCTGTTTTTTGCACATCCTAATTATCCTTTTAGTTCTGGTTTCTAAAACGCATGGGTGTAGGAAGAGCAATAATTAGGAAGACTCATATTCATGTATGCATGGTACAATCCGTTAAGAATAATGAATTGTAAAGAAGCCTAACACTCTTCCTCGTGCATTTATGAAGCCTCTTCCCTGTAATTATCTATGTTCCTACTCCCCTGCTAAAAAACACACTAAAAATCGTGATTTTAGGGAAATACGAAGAACCAAAGCCAGCCTGGGTAGAGGCTGAGAAAGAATTTTTTCTTCGAGAAAGAGACAAAGATGGCGATGGCAAACTCAACAAGGTTAGAATCACAGATTTAAAGATGTATGCCTGTTGTGATATGATTTTAACCTAAATAACCAATACTTACACCTTTTTTAAAAATGTACATTACTGTATCTATTCATTTAGTAAGTTATTATTAAAGAAGACTTTTGCTAATTACGTTTAACAAACTGCTAAGTTCTCCGTCGACTTTTGCAGATCTTGCGCGCTGACCTCTTTAGGAGACGTTTTCCTAGTTGTTCAGGTATAAACACAGTATAATAGATTTATCCTTAAAAGCCTTTGGTGGAATAGGTAATTAGACAAGCAATACTTCATTTGACAAAAAAAATTTTGCAAATGCTAACCATTGTCTGAGTAACAATAGTGTTACCACATTTGACACACAGGTTTAAAATAAGACATATGTTGTTCAGGCTAGCAAGTTTTACACCAATCTGCACATGAACGCTTTGCATAAAATTGCGGTTTATTTTGCGTTTCTCTTTTTAGTTGCCGTTTTTTTAACATTCATCAGTTATTTGTAGTTGCAATAATTTAAGTTACATTAATGCATCTTTGATGGATAAAAGTTATTTCAAAAAAATTGCATTTAAAAGCAAAAAACCTAAAATTATAAGCTATTTGAAAGGTAAGCGTTTGCATAAGCCAAATTTCCTGAAACTTTGTTAGCTTCAATAACATGTTTCATAATTTAACCCTGTACTTTAAATTTGTTTTTAGCCTTTTCATTTTCGTGTGGAAGCTATTTCAAATGGGCTTTCTGCAACATTAATCTCACTCTAAAATTGGTTAGTATTTACAAATAATTTACTGTCCAATGAGCCACTGGAAGTCCAACTATCTATTCCATCAAAGGTTTTTGTAGATCTTGCGCGCTGGTCACTTTAGGAAGGTTTTTCTAACTGTGTACTTTTTTTGATAAATACGTAATTTTGAAAATCAAAAATCTGCTAGAAAAAAGCATTTGTGGACCTTAAATATTATACAAGCTTTGTTATTTAATTATTGCTTTTAGGCTGAAGTAATAACATGGTTGTTCCCTGTAAACTACAATGCTCTAGATTCGGAAGTAACACATCTGCTTCACGAAGCTGATGTCAACAAGGTTAGTTACTGTTTTATGAAACTGGGTGTGGTGTTATAAAAGCCCAAAGCTGCGACCAGGGGCGGATCTAGGAATTTTCAAAAGTCAAAAATCTATGACGTCATACAAAAGTCAGACATGACGTCATTGATGTCGGAATACGAAATGAAGCATACTCTGAAGATGTTGTGGGTTTCTCTTAAAAATCAAGGCTCATCAGCCGTTGAAACTGGTCAAGTAAAACAATAGACATGCACAGATCATAAACTGGAGACTGAAAGCAATTAATCTGAATATGTGTGGTGAATTTTGTTTGATTCCCACAGTTAGTTTGAGGAAACTCAAATTTTAAATAATTGCTTTTTATTGTCCATCTCTTAGATTACATCTCTCCATCACAAATCTTTTACAACAACAACTCCCAATATTTTGACAGCTCTCAATCAAACTTAACTCAACAAGTTGGTCTTTCCAGATAATTCTTACCAGCACGAAGCCTGACTGCCCTCACTATTCCATTTCGACCAGGTATAAGGTCAGTCACAAATTCGATTTTCTACTTTCCTCTGTTCTTTTCTTCTCCTTTAATAAGCACCACATCTCCTTCTTTCAATTGCATACGTTTGCCTTTATTCTTAAATCGTGTCGTTCTTTAAGTGCCCTCATGTATTCCCTTTTCCAACGCAGCCGGAAGCAATCTTTGCACTTCTTTAGATAGAACGATCTCTTTCGTAGATCGATGTCTTCTATTTCTTTACTAGGCACTTACAAAAGATAATTCGCCTTCCCTAAAATCATATTTGGTGTAATCAACGGTAGTTGTACATCATCTTCACAGTACGTTAACGGTCTATTGTTCAATACTGTCTGGATTTTCCGACAATACGTCTTGAAACTCTTTGTAAGTAAGCTTAGCCGCCTCAACGACTTTTTAAAGGGAATTCTTCACTAACGCAACCATTCTCTCAAATAGACCTCCCTACCAGCTTGCTTTGCTCAAATTGAACTTGATGGTCCCGCAGAAACACAAGAAATTTTTAATTTTTTGTGGCTTTCTTGTTCAACTTGGATGCAGCGTGGAAGGTTTCTCTATTGTCCGAGATCATTTTCTTGGGTCGACCTCGAACGGCAGCAAATTTCTTTAAACTTGCAAAGAACTCTTCACGGCTTAGGTCTGGTAGCAGCTCTGTATGAAGTCCTCTCGTCAAGGCACATGTGTATATAAGGATGCAAGACTTACGTTCACTCTTCTTGTGACGGTAATAAATTGGACCTGCGTAGTCTACACCTACTACTTCGTGAGGTGTTGTGCCTTCAGTTCTCTCTCTCAGAACATTACCTGCAGGTGGGGTCGATTCGGACACTGCGTGAAACCGTAGCATCCGTAACAGTGACGCAACACCTTCTTTGCAATGGATCTCAACTTTGGAATCCAATATTCCTCACCAAATTTACTCATGATACGTCCGACCGCCCCTTGCAAGGTCAGCATATGAGCTCATTTTACAACTTTCTCCAATAATAAATGCTTTGCAGGAAGATACACCGGATATTCCCCTTGGATCCTTCCCTAACAAACGTATATTCCGTCTTGATTTTTTTCAAGATTAAGTTTGGTAGAATCGTCTTTGAAATTCTCCATCGCTTCGTTTTCAGCTTGCGCTCGTCTGATCAGTAGCTTTATCATCACCTGAGAGCCTTCTGTCGTTAATGCACCACTGGTTTTCTTATTACTTACTATGTTGTCAACAAAGCTCTTACACCATGCTAGAACTCGTACAGTTTTGGACTTGGACGAACTTTTCCAGAATATGGTCAATGAAATTAATATCTTTTGGAATGGTTACCATCATTACTTCTTTTCTCATTCCACTTTCCAATTCCGAGTTTTCGCTCGGTTTGATCTGTACCTGTTTCGGCCATTGATATTTTACAACCAACTATTCTTGTTGACCTACTCATCAAATAAAGCTGAACAGTAAAGATCAAATGTCAACAAAAACATTAGTTGATGCGAAAATTTAAAGAAATTCCCATTTACTGTCATTAGTTGTTATTGTTCGAAATGACCTTTTATTTTATCAAATATCAGCAAATAATTTCTACTTCATCTCCACTATAACACAATAGGGAAGTTTATTACTTCATATTTTACAATGACACAATATTGTGCAGGTAAAGCCATCTTAATGAAAATACAAGCAATGACAACATATTAAACAAATAACCCGTGTAAAGTACATTCATAAAGTAAATTAATATATTGAAACACATTAGGGCACTTGTAAAACTGTACAGATGATGGTTAAGATAAAAAGAATCGCCAAGATAATTAGCAATTGTAAAGTCAACAACAATTGTCATAACAATAACAATTGCTCATAATGTAATTGTTCGATAATTATAAGAACAACATAATCATTGTATACCCCACATCGTTCTTTCCAGGCAAATAACACCAACCATAAATCGCATATAGCTATATTTACTGGGCTGTTATATTCCAAAGACGATAAATTTGAATAGTATATCATATTAATAATGGTTGGGTGGATTTCAACAATACGCACATTATATCAATTTGTGTTGAACTAACAATCTGAACTGAAGGAAAATTGACGTTATTTATCGCACCGTTTTGACAGGGATGTAAACTTCCGCTGATAAGTCTCCACTATTATTATTTCCAAGAGCTCGATCTTTTGTAAACAACATCACAGTCCGCCTCAATGTAAACATAATTAAAGATCCGCGAATTGCAATTTGTCACTTAGAATGTTATTTTGACCATAGCATAGAGCATTAATATTTTCAACGGATTTGTTCTTTTAGAAAAAATATCTCAACAAAAGTATATTTCAAGATAAAGATCACCTTCATTCATTTATCGATTAAAGCTTTTCAGTATTTCTCGCTCTGATCTCGAAATTAATAAATTCACTGACTGGACCCCGTTTAAGGTTGGAAGTTAAGTCAGGCCACCCCACTTATAAGTCAATCTGTGTCTCTGTGATTGGTCAAAGAGCCTTTTGGACTCCATTAAGAAGTTAAAGTAAATCAGGTCACCCCGCTTATAAGTCAAACCATTTGTTTGTGATTGGTTAATAGCAGGGCCGGATTAACATTTTGCGGGGCCCATGGCATAATATCAGTGCAGGGCCCTTGCCCCAACCCCTGTGTTTACCAAAATGCAATAAAAAACTGTTTTTTTAACTCAAACAATAAAACCTCGTATTTTGGCCTATTTAAACCAATACGTTGAATATAATTCCAATTTACAATCACGTACGTATACCAAACATTACATACCAATATTAAACAGACTAATATAATAAACACGATAAAAAAAGACGTAAAAGGTTTTACTGTGCAGAAGTGTTAAGCCTTATAAACGTTATGCTTACGGGATTTCATAAGAGCAAAATCATTAATCAGGGATGACATATCAATACTACGCAGAACATCACTTTCAATACTCAGAAGAGCAAGGCTATTTAGTCGTTCCTGTGTCATGGTTGAACGAAGATGATCCTTTATTAGCTTTAATTTCGAGAACGACCGTTCACCAGAACAATTTGATATCATCATACTGAGGTAAATGCGAAACACAATAACAGTGTTTGGAAATACAGTTTCCAGGTTATTTCCCACAAGAAACCTGTATATACGCAGTTCTAGGGAGTCTACGTTCACTTTGATGTCGTCATCATCATCGGATGTTACATCGATGTCATGGTCTTCACTAGGCTGAGCAGAAGATCCAATTCGAGCTGAAGAATAATGAGGTGCAGCTGCATGACTCGCATCTAATGCTCTTTTCACGAATTCTGTGTTGAGAAAGCTAGAAAACTGGAGCAATTCATCACCCAAATTGACTTCGAGGTCAGTGGAAAATGCTTTTTGCAATCTTTGTGCGTTTTCCAACACGTCTTCAGCTGGCAGGTCTGTAAGCTTTCGCAGAAAGCCAAACTTTTCAGCAATGTTGATGTAAGCACTCAGTCGTTTTCGCAACTCAGCATCCAGACTATCGATTATTACAAGGAAAGTACCTGTGCGAAACTTGTCGGCTGGAATCTGCAACAAATCAGGTGCTGATCCTGGCTCGTCGTTACGACGATTTCTTTTACGCACGCGCTTGATCTCTTCTTTATATTGATCACATTCACTGAGCTCCTTTCCTTTGGCTTCAAATTCTTCAAATCTGGTTCGCAGCGAAAGGACAAACTCAATCAGCGATTCATATAATGCAACAGCAGTGTTGAGATCTTGATCAGCTAATTGCAGGATCTGACTTGTTCTCTGAAATCGTTGCAAGATTTGATGCCATAATGCTACCAGAATTCCAATTTCAAACTGGGCCATATCAGACGCAAGACTATTGGCTTCATTTTTGGCTTCAGGCTTCTCATCTTCATCATCATGGATCTCGTCTAAAGCAGCATTAATTTCCTCGTATCCTATTACTAGAGCTTTTGTAGCATCTGCACGTGCTGACCATCGAGTATCAGACATACGTTTAACCGTTGGAAGTCTCTTGCTTGAAAGTTGGTCGGTTAAAACTTTCCAACGATGCGTTGAAGCAGCAAAGAAAGAGTACAATCGTTGGAGGAAGTTGAAGAATCTTGATGCTTCTTGACAACAACTGGCAGATGATTGTCCAACAAGATTAAGGGAATGGGCAACGCAGGGTATGTACTGTGCTATTCTACAATGTTGCTGAATAATGGCCTGCATACCATTATATTTCCCACTCATATTGCTTGCATTGTCATATGACTGGCCGCGGCAATCCGAAATATTTATATTATTGGTTTTCAAATAATCTAGTAGCCTTTCAGCTAGCAATTTTCCGCTATGTCCACGTATGTTAAGGAAAGATACAAATCGTTCGACAGGACCAGAGGGTAAAACGTATCGAAGAATGCATGTCAGTTGATCAACGTGGGAAATATCTGGGGTAGAGTCTACACAGACGGAGAAATACTTTGCAGCTTTAACTTCTGTAAAATCTGCTCGCGAACTCGAGTTGCCATCAGTTGGATGAATTCCTCGCAAATGGTCTTTGAGAGATAGGATGTGTGACCCTTTCCCTTATTTGCATTACGGTTGATGTGTTGCGCTAGAAATGGATCGAACATCGATATAAGTTCTAATGTTCCCAGGTAGTTACCGTTTTTTGGCGATCCAACGATCTCATCAGTGCCGCGAAATGGTAAACTTCGCTCGGAAAGGTAACGGATGGTTTCTGTTACCCGCTCAAGTACTGCCCGCCAATAGTTACGCTCATCACTGGCCTGTGTGACCAGTTCTGAATCAATACGGCAGCCAGCATCGCTACGTTGGAGTAGCTGAAAACAGCATTACGGTGCGCTGAACTTTTCTCATGTCGTGGAATTGACTGGGATGCGCGTTTCCAGTCATTATAACCTTGTTTTCCAAAAACGATGCTGTCAGTCATGAGTTTACACGCAAAACAGAACACGACATGTTTGGATGGTGAATAGCAGAGCCAGTTTCGAGGATGTTGCTGTTTTGTAAGCTCATGTGTGTACGTGAACAAAGTTTTTTGACATCGTCTATTGTAAGCATCTCCCTCATATCTTGTTGATGTTGCGCTGAAATCGGCATCGGAATTTCTGCACTGACTACTCCCTTGACCTGCCCAGTGCTCTCTCATATTGTCGGAAATATCAGTAGGCCATAATCCCAAATCACAAGAGTATCCATCATTGTTATCAGTGGAAATGGACGTATCACCAGATGTCAACTCCTTGGATGTGTCGCCGGTGTCGGGTTCCTCAACTGCTTCTGCCATTGTTGTCATCGCTTCATCTGCAGCAGTCAGCTCAGAAGAACCTTCATCAGCCTTCGGAGGAAACAGTTCCGATATTTTCGGCATTTTACTTAAAACTTTACTTTCCCGTAAAATTCGTTCATCCTTTGCCTTTCGTTTTGCTGCTCCAGATGCATATTTGCGATTTTTGTCGCGGTCGCGGTTGCCACCCCCACTGGTGGAACTCATTCTTTAATTGTTAACTATATTATAGCAATTAGCAAACCTAAAAAATTTGAAAGTGACGTTTTAGTAATATTTACTTTCACAAAAACATAGAAGGACGATTTGACGGTTTACTATCGCACATACAGAATTGTGAGAAAATAAATCAAACACGCATACGCTTCTTGGGCCTTTGGAGCTGCCAGGAATTCAGGACATTTTTGAAATATATTGTTATTTCATATAAATCGGCAATTTATATATGAGGAATAAACATGTAACCAAGGAAACGTAAGAATGCAGACGGCTCACGGCAGTTAGTAAATCATCAAAACTTACCAAGCGTCGCCGTCACTGCTTCAGCATTCAGCCAAATACCTTGAATATCTCCAGTTTGAATTTGTCAACAACACTTACAAGTCACAAACAACAGCAATCTCAAAATTATCAAAATGAATCGAAAAAAGTCTGATAGTATTCAATACGGTTTGAAAGTCGAGACTACAACAATATCGAGTTGCAATCCTACTGCCAGACGAAAGACTTTATGTAATATAATAGGTGTAGCTAAATTAACGGAAACTGCAACATGTAATATGACGATACAAATGGATCTCCTATCCCATTGCAAAATATAGCCTATATTTTGCCAGTGAATCATTGATACTTGCAGTGTTACCGTTTTTGGAATTGGGCCTCACGCTTTTATATTTCAATTAGTCTTGGCCGTTTCGTTTTATTTCCCTTTTTTTCTTTTTCCAAAGGCAAGCGCGGGGCCCCAGAAGCGCGGGGCCCGCGGCATATGCCGCTTCTGCCATATGGTTAATCCGGCACTGATTAATAGGTCTTTTAGACTCTATTAAAAAGCTTGAGAAAGTCAGACTACCCCAATTTTAAGTCAAGGTACCCGATTCGGTAAGACATACAGTACTGCTGAAATTTTGTCGGTTTTTTCGACAAAACACGAATTTGAACAAAAAATCGTAGAAAACTTGGGCGATTACATAAAAGTCTGCTAGGTGGAGTTGTCTCTTAGAACATTAACGATCAAATTTCATTTGAAAAATTGTGTGTTTCTTTGCAAATTGCAATTGTACGTAAGTCGCGTGACTTACTTCACTTACCCTAGATCCGCCCCTGGCTGCGACCACTGATTTGGTAAAAGCTTGGATATCAACGACATTCCAATAGTACTTGTTTCAAAACTAAATAGCTGTTTTGAACCTGTGTCTGAAACAATAGAAAAAGTGTTCGGTCAAGTTTATAAGCATTGATACTTTAGTTTTGGCATGCTTATTTGTAAATGTTATAATTCATTTCTAGCGTTAGGTAATTATATATTAATGGAATTTGACTTAAACCGTCATTCACAAAATTTTGAATTTATTCAAAGGACGAAAGTCTCACAAAGCAAGAAATACTCGCTCGAGAAGACCTTTTTGTTGGCAGTAAAGCCACTAATTTTGGAGAAACTCTGAATCGCCCTTTGGACGAACTGTAACTTTTGAAGTTACATGTTTTTTGTTCTTTTGGATAAAGACTTTTAAAGAAATGAAAGAAACTTACAAACAAACTGGACAAACAACAAAGAGAAATAACTTATAATTGAATGGATTCGTCTTAGTTTACACTATATAATTAGATTATGGCCATGTTTTGATCGGTACAAGTTTTGTCGCTGCAACAGTGAAATGTTCCAGTCAGGTTAAGTGAATAGCGTAGTCAGGCAGTCTCTTTAGCTAATAGTTTAATTTTTCCTAACCGAATCGAAAGTAGTATAGGGAAAGGGGTTCTTATTCCGGTGGTGCCGGTGGTGCACTTGAGCACCACCGGATGACATCACATATTAAATGACTCAATTAAAATTGCAGATTTTGCTAATGCCTTTACTTAATTTATGAATGTTAAATGACATATAAAAATATGACTGTTTCAGTAACACATACATTAGCGTATTTTCATCAATTTTTCAAATATGAGTTTATTTGTGTAAAATAAGTTAAAATGCAATGTAAGGTGGTTCATTTCCGTATTTTTTAGTTCGAAAATCAGCGATTTAACTCTTTGTATTTTTAATACCCTCAATGCCTTCACTGCCTTCACGGAGTACTTTGAGTCACATGACTGCGATTAACTCATTTGATTGGAAAACAGAGCTTCCTGTTGTTATGGCAACAAGTTTATATCGCGTCTGGCGAGGAGCCGTTCAAACAAACTTCGTGTGGAAGAATGCCTTAGCTGTGTTTATGTTGATGTTTTTACAAACTTTTCAATATCTTGATAGGAATATGCCTTTTCGATATTGTAAGCGAGATGGCTTGATATGTTTGTAAATGTCGATCGTCCAGGCTGGTATAGTCCTGAGAAGGACTGTTTTTGTTGGTGTTGACTGACGTTTCGACAACAACAAAAACAGTCCTTCTCAGGACTATACCAACCTGGACGATCGACATTTACAAACATTTACCGATACTCCCTGGCTCAAACCATTTACTTTATGGCTTGATATGGCAGAGAAAGGCCGTGGATAACTCGTAAAAATCTCGAAGATTTTCTACAACATTGACAACGAAGTGATGGGAATATATTGTTGATAGTAAACGAGATGGCTTGTGAGATTGAAGAAATTCGGTGGATAACTCGTTAAAATCATGAAGATTTCTCCTGCAAAAGCTGGGGTATTGACAAGGAAGTGATGGAAATGTACTTTGTTGTAATTAGCGGGATGGCTTGTGAGAATAGAGAAATTCAGCGAATGACTAGCGAAAATCAGAGAGATTTCGACAACAAAAGCGAGGGTATTAATTAACAAATGAGTATTGTTAGCTTGGCCGACTGATTTTGCTAAAGTATTGAACGAAATATGGTGAAGAGCTCTATTTAGCTACTGACAATTTTAGCAGTAACTGTTCTGGCTAGAGAAATATCAGACTCAAATTTAGTTGTAAGTATCCGTTGAGCTTTTTAATATAAATATTTCCTATCAAAACGTAATAACGGTTATGCCGATATAAGTATTCATTTAAAATACGAACAGAAGTAGAAGCAGCAGTAATTTTAATTTATATTTAATTTAACAATATTGCACTGGGCCAGTCCTTTTTCAGGCACAATTCTAGAATATCCTGCAACCTAAACTGCCTTGTTGGTGGAACAAGTATGTAGCACGTTATCTTATAACTGCTCCCGAGTATTTAAAGAATGTAGGGTGATGACAGAAGACTATTATACCTGAAATATTTTCCTGAAATAATTTGCAAAAGGCTGTATAGACAGGTATGATTGTCTATTGTCTTAATTAGGTAATTGCCTTACCTTTATAAGTGCCAGCTTAAAAGTTTATATAGTTATTAATATCATTATATAATTAAATTTTAGAATGAAATACTAAGTGTTAATTTCCTTTTGTGTAATTTGGAATCGAAACAGGGGCTCTATTGATATTGACAACTGGAGTTAGGCAATCATTGCAACTTTTCACCTTAACAAATTGATTGGACACAACTACAAAAAGGCCGCAACAATGTTTATCAAATGTTAATATGGAATGCTAGCACGAATTAATTATTTTTAAATTTATCATCGCATTTCTTGATTTAGGTACAGGTTTTAATTGATTTGGGTGCGACGTGAGAAATGTTATGATAAACAATTTGGTAAAGGGAAAGTAGAAAACATGCCAACAATGAACTAATGTGGAGAAGTTAAATTACATACTGACACAATAAAGAGTAGTTTGAACTATCCGTATGTATTTTTAACTTAATTGAATTTATTTACATTATGGCTGTTTAATAATTACAGCATTCAAAATTTTTCAATAATTTTTGAATTTTTAATTATCATCTTTATATCTGTATTAAACAGAATTTTAGTTTGTTAATAATGTTTTACATGATGTATTGTATTAAGATTACCAAAAAATGAAAGGCCAAAAAGTGTATGATTACACTAAATTACTCATTCTAGTATAATATATCAGTATCAATATTCTATTGAATCTGTTGTAGGACATTACATTAATCTTCTTTAAAAAATTGTGTAGCAAATTTTTAGTATTCCGTAGAAATTTCATTAAATGCAGTATCCGAAAAGTAATTGAGAAAGAAAAGTCATTGGTATACGCAGCATAGGCTCGTGATAGTGAAGGTCGAGCGACCACACCGGCAGAGACCAAAGAAAGCATGGACATCCTCAAACGGAATTATGGAAGACAATTATCAAAACAAAATTTAGACAAACACAATATAAACTATTTAAGAAAAAAAGCTTCACAAAACTGTAAGTATTGCGGGGGAGGACATAAGATTGACAGGCAAGCATGTCCTGCATTTGGAAAACAGTGTCATGGTTGTGGTAAGATTGCTTACTTTAAAAGAATGTGCCATTCTAAAAAATTCTAAGCAGTTAACAAAAGAAAAAAAGGGAAGCAATCACATCGATGTAATAGAAAGCCCAAGATCCATGACTTAGTTCGTGATGAGGATTCATCTGATGAAACTAGGAAAGTTTAATCAGATTCACGATAAGAAAGAAATTCATGTTCAGTGGCGGATCCAGTGTACGTCAAAATAAATTATAGCTCCTCAGTTTTAAATTCAAATTACATTCAGAAAAACACTATTGGTTTTTAATTTCTAAAGAATACAATTTTACCAATGGATTGGCCTCTAAAGTGTTTAGAAATGTAAATATACGCCAAAATGTGCTGCAGTAATTTATTTTGACGTACTCTGGATCCGCCAAATTTTAAGGTCATTTAATATAAATGGTAATGAAGCAAAACTAAAAGTGGATACAGGGGCAAGAAGCAATGTATTGTCACTTAAATTATTCAAATCAGTAAGAGATGGTGAACAAATTGATAAATCGAAGTCTGTTAAGTTAGTGGCTTTTGGAGGCCACACGTTTTCAAATTTGAGTGCAGCATATTCAACGTAAAGTATCAACTCCAAAAAGTGCGCGTTAGAATTTCAGATTGTTGATAAACCAGTAGTATTACTTCTTGGTTTAAGTGATTCATTGGGTGTTTTAACACTAATATTTGAAATCTGCAAGTGTACATAAGAGACATTGCCTCTAAACTTCAACCTCCTAGACAAAATCAAAACTGTTCGCTTATGCTCATTGGCACTTCCGGTAAACATTTTTCTTGAACTTGATCTGGCTAGTAGTATTTATGGACTGGAAATAATGCAAATTAAAATGTTAAACATGCTAGGGAAAGTTTAGAGTAAAATTTCAGGTCACTAGATCATTGAACCGCCAATATATAGTGCAACTAAACTTGCAAGTTGTTTGCAACATTGAATCTTGCTATATATGTCATGAATCACACATTGCAGACTGTTTGTCACAAAACTGATATTAATCACTTATAGTATCTATAATAGTACTAAAATTTAAAAATAATTGAATATTAAGTAAGGTATAATTTGAATCATGCATTAATCAAGACCTTGTAATTTCGTATGTGTTTATTCATTTCGTTTATTTTGAGCAAGTAATTGGTTTATGCTCTACTCAATGTCTTTGACTTGCTTGGTAAACAAGCGTCAGGTTTTGGACTACCTTGATATGTGTCGCAAATAAGCTTGACAAGATTTTCTTGAGCTGCAGTTTGAATTGCGTCCGTGTGTACCCCATTCAAGGTTACCCAAGGCACATATGTGTGTGGTGGTTCCAGAGCATTGGTTTTCTTAGCCATTTTGTGTTCCAACTCGTTGCCCAGACGACCTTTTACGCACGAGATAATTAATGAATAGTCTAAACCAAATTTTTTTGCACATTTAGGAGCGTTATTTCGAGGCAATAAACTTGATGATTCGATGCAGTGGATAAAAGGCATAAAGACAGAAGCGTTTTGGTTGTAGTGTATGGCACATGTCTCGATTAAGTTGCCGTAGCATTCTTCCTCGCCGTGTTGACACATAAATTTCCACTTGCTGTCATTTTTCTTCTCTATAGCGTTGCCGTATGGCACAATAACCAAATTCATTATTTCCCCAACGGCTTTGAATGCAGGCCATAATTGATTGTTAACAAAATTCTGGCAATCAGGACACAGGCTTTCCATGTAAAGCGTAAAGTTCACGAGTTCGACGTTCGACCTAGAGAGTAGTGAAAAATACGGATGGCATTGTTCTTCGACATCGCATTTTATTGCAACTTGACGCGATGAGCACCACAAGCTTGGCGGTAAGTTACAAGATTTCGCCGATGCGTAGGCAGCTACGACGAAAATTATTACAAAAATATCTTTTATATTCATAATTTCTGTTGCCAAGATCTATTGCAAGAAAAATATTGTTGTCGTCAAGCGTATTAAAATGCTATAATTGTTATTGCTAGCCTGATATTATGACACCGGTAAAGTGAGAAAGGCAAAAATATATTATGTCATGCGTTTTCAATTGTTGTGTAACATATCGTATACAGATCCTTTCTCTTAAACTGGGCATCATGGGTAATCCGGTAAACACATTTATTTGCATGATATACAATAATTAGTAAATATCAACTTGACACTAAAAAAGTTGCAAACAGCAAACTATCATTAAATCCAAAAAAGCTTAAAGGCAATTCTAAGTAAGGTTAAAAGTATGTATTAATCGCATATTTTGCTTCAATACGCTCCAAACACATAAATTCAAACAATTCGAGCAATTTACTAGCAAAAATATTATTCTTAAAGTCATGATGGTGGAAGAACGCAACAATCAAAATACAAAGACGACAATCAATGCAAAGAAATTTACATAAGCTCCGTCTCCAAGCACGTGGTGTATGCAACTTGATATGCAACATAAAAAATACTATGATAATATTCATGTGATCCTCACGCGTGATTCACAGCGTGCATGATTGCCTATGACGTTATTAAATATGTAAACAATGTACGGACATTGCAACTTGCAAGCTTCGTACATAGTCATGCAATAGTAGCACGCAACTGGCGATAAAATAAGTTAAAACGCTTACTTTTTGAATAACTAGTGTTTCATACTTGATCTTTTACAAAATGTCAAGCGATGGTTTAATTGGAAATTAAAAAGAAATATTTCACCGACCATGGTTCACTGTTAGCGGTTATTTGAAGCCAACACTGGTAAATATATTTGTGCGCGCCAAGAGATAAGGAACAAAGTGGGCCAAACGCGACTTATAATCTACGATATGCAAATGAATAATCTTTTAAAAATGAAAATGGAGCGAATTTTTTAAAAAACTCACGTATGCTGACTTTTGCGCTATATTTAATCACTTATCATCCCTCAGCATTTTCATGTCGCTTCTGTTTTGCAGCAGAAAGTTAGAGTCGTTTCAACGCTTCTTTCAACAGGAGCGCTTTGTTTTGAGTTTGCTTAAGACTGCTTCAGTGTAGTCTGCGCCCAGACGTCATTGCCAATTACCACTTGTATATGTAATAGCATGGTTTCGACTTTGGAGTGCAATTTGAGAAAAACATAAGCCATTAAAGACTATCCGAAGGACGAGTGCAATCAGTGGCGGATCTAGGGGTAGGCAACTAAGGCATTTGCCTATAGTAAAATTCCTAAAAAACTCTGATTTTGATTTTATACGATCAGGATACTAGAACAGCAAAATTTTAAGTTAATAGATTAATATTTTTCGATTAGCAGTCCGGTTAATAATGATTTATTCATAGCTCTGTAGTTGTTAGGCAGAGACGCCATTTTGCCATACTTCAGTGGCCGATCCATTGAACTAAAGTACATCTGAAACGATAACTCCTATAGTTTTGTCCCATGATTGCCTGAAGCCAAAATACATCTAAAATTTGTCAAACTCCGCCATAAAATAATGCGTAATTTTTCAACGGCCGATGTTTGTTTAGGCTTCTTGGCAGTTGAAAAAGTGAAAAAATTGATTTGGTATCTTTTCTTTTACACATTTTGTGCTTTAAAATTGCATCTAACAGAGTTAGTTTATGCCACAACAAGATATTTTCTAGGAGGAACATATTTAGCAAGAATTGATCACGATCGATCCACAAACTAACTCAAGTATACTAGACGGAACTGAATGCTAAAAAATATGAATGCTATATAAAAAATATTTGAATATTCATAGCAGGGGTGGATCTAGCAGTTTTTGTGACTGATGCCGAGCGCCAAAGGGGCGAGCCATTCTAAAATTTTGATAATATAGAACCTCAAAAAGGGCATTTCCTTTAATTTGAAGACAGTTTTGTAGAAATGTTTGAACCTTAATCTTACTGATTTCATCATTGAAAAATAAGGCTTTTACGCAACTTTCAAATGATTTTGCTTTGAATAATGTCACTGATTATTCAAACAATTGCTGTTATGTACGTTTATACACAGCATAAAGAAAACCAAGTCTTTATTAAAGCCTCTTCGTTTCTCATCAGTACTCGGGACCGGCAATGGCAAAATATTTGAAGAGACAAGACTTAAAAAACGTACAACATTATTACTTAAACGTTTACAGCTTATGCTAAGTCTTATGAAGTAGGAAAGTCAAAGCCAAATTTTTAAGTGCGCATTGATCGCACTGGAATTCTAAGATTTTGCTTTTTATTCGAGACCGTTGCTAAATGTTACTTCTCTTTGTCGTTTCTTGTGGAGCAATGTAAAGCACTATGTCGGAATGGCTTCTTTGGTCTCTTTGTTATTTTTGCAATGTTCAACACATGTAAGAACACGACATAAAAGTATGAGCATAAAATGTTTGGTCATATTTGTGAAAATATATCATGATTCGATAATATTATTATTCTATAATCTTTTTCATACTTGTATTTTATTACAATTCAAAAGTGTTTCAAACTTATGAATGTGGAAAGTCATTTGTGTTTTTGTCTTTTTTTTAAGTGGGTATTGACCCTTTTTTAATATCGTCTCTTTAATGGTGCAACTAATAATCACACCACAATATGGCATAACAGTTTTTTTAAAAACGAATTCAAAATATTTTTTGCCAACTTTTTGAAATATTTTGCAATATGTTTTCTGTTTGTTTGCGCTCTAATCTTTCAAAAAGGACTGGGGCGAGCTAATTTTGCTCAGAAACACAAAAATTACCGAAAAACATCGTTTTTTGCCCTGACAGCTTCATTTTCAAAGATTCAAACAATATTATAAGGATAGACAAGTGTATTTTACATCCTTCTAATTAAAAAAAAAAGAGGGGTGTCAGTTTTGTATTCCAGTTATAAGGCATGTTTTCACGTGCCAAAAAAAAGTTCGCCTTTCATCGTTCTAAAAAGCAGCTTAAACATATACAAATGTCGTTCAAACTTGTTTTATGTTAAAGTCCAAACATTTTTTAAGGTTTTTAGACATTAAGCTGGCTCAAAGAGTTTTGTGCAAAAAATCCGTCAATTTCGAAGTGATGTATTTAGCCTCCGTACCCTCAATGGCGGCGATCATGCAGCCTTCAAAGATGGCGGCCAAGTTAGCCTTCCAGTTGTTATAGAGTCCACTTAATTCCAACAACATTTTTCGCTCCCCTCGTATTCAAATTAGTTTGCCGCCATGTTTTATGTTTATTCCATGACAAGAAGCAAGCCCACAATGCATTTTCACCAGCACCTAATATGAAACGTCATGTACTATGAGCGCATTCATCAGATAGCGCAATTAAAACTTAAATACGTGCGTCAGTAATATTTTACTATTGGAGGAGCGAACATGTCCAAAAGGCGGAAATCAAAACCATTTAATATAAGTTTAACTTTCGTTCACATTAAAAGCGAAAGATGGTCAAAAGCAATGCTTGCAGCACAGATTGTTGAAACCAAGCGACCGAAAATATAGCAAATTTCATTGAAATATCCAGACAAGCAGTTAATGAAGCTGCCAAGGTTAAGAAAGAGAAAAAGTCAAAATTACCAGTAATGATACACAGAGCAGGACCATAACGAGTCCCAGAAACTAGTTGCTTTTATCAAGAAAAAAGATAGTAGTGCATGGTTGTGAGTGATATACATGAATGAATAAGAGAAACTATTAAAGTTTCCAAAAATTTGAATCATCGAACAAAGAGGAAAATGGTTTTTTTAAGAAGCATTTTTCATGTCACGAAAACGCAAACATTGCAAGTACATATATAGCTCAGTGTGTCACAATGAAAAGTAACGATTCTCGCAAGATAAACTATTTAAAAAGCTTTTTTCATATCATTTATCAATACAAATAACATATGTCATGTAAACAATGTCCTATTTTTATATGTTGTGTGTAAAAAACCCAATAAAAAGGAAAAGAAAATAAGCACAACGTATATCACGAATAACCTTGATGCGCAACATTTTAATATAAACAGTGGGAAACTGAAATATATATCTTCTATTAAAAAGACCCAATGAACATTTTTTAAACGTAAAAAGACATCAATGATGCACATAAAAGATATATTTATAAAAAAATGTGCATAAAACTGAAAATATTCAAATAAAATGTTTTTATCTATTTTTTAGCATTTACCGTCTGGTAGTAGTTTGTCGGATCAACCTCCATTCTCGTCGATTACATTTTTCTACGTAGATATCTCGCTAGGTATAAGCTAAGCATGGTACAATGCAGAAAAATTGTCGAAAAAACGATAAGAAATAAAAAATTTTGACGGAATTTCCGTTGCCAAAAGTAAAAACAAACATCGATCGCCAAGAAAATATCACTATTTCAGTGGGGAGTAGACAAATTTTAGACGTATGTTGGCTTCTGTTAATTTATTATTAAAGCAGTTTATTATTAAGTTACGCATTATTAAGTTACATAATGAGCGTTGTCCTAAACTATGCGGCATCCAGCAGAACAGAAGATAACAATAAATAGCATTCAATAGGAAATGTTTACCAGATCATGTGACTAGTACTATGATTAGATATCTTATACTTAGTTTAATACACATATAATGTATCGTCATTCCTAACACTCCTACTTGAGGATATCATTATTAAAGAAGACTAAAGTTAATTGATTTCAGAAACTCCCAATTGTTCTCTGAATTTTATAAATTTTTCCTTGGATAGACTTTTGGTCATGATGTCAGCTAACATTTGATCTGTAGGGCAGTACTTCACATCAATTGACCCATTCCCAACTTTCTCTCGAACAAAGGGAAATGCAATGTCAATATGTTTGGCTCGGTTGTGAAACTTGGCATTTTTTGATAGTTCGATAGCTCCTTGGTTATCTTCATAAATGACTAATAATTTTTCTGATCTTACATTCACATCTTGTAGGAGCTTCTTCGACCACACAAATTCTTGTGTAGCTAAACTTAGTGCGACGTATTCTGGTATACAATTTCTGGTATCCAAATCGTTTCCCCAATCAGCATCAGAATATCCGATGATCAATTGCTTTCCTCCATTAGC